AGAAATCAACTGTGGGAGCAATTATTAGGAAATGGAAGACATACAAGACCACTGATAATCTCCCTCGATCTGGGGCTCCACGCAAGATCTCACCCCGTGGGGTCAAAATGATCACAAGAACGGTGAGCAAAAATCCCAGAACCACACGGGGGGACCTAGTGAATGACCTGCAGAGAGCTGGGACCAAAGTAACAAAGCCTACCATCAGTAACACACTACGCCGCCAGGGACTCAAATCCTGCAGTGCCAGACGTGTCCCCCTGCTTAAGCCAGTACGTGTCCAGGCCCATCTGAAGTTTGCTAGAGTGCATTTGGATGATCCAGAAGAGGGTTGGGAGAATGTCATATGGTCAGATGAAACCAAAATAGAACTTTTTGGTAAAAACTCAACTCGTCGTGTTTGGAGGACAAAGAATGCTGAGTTGCATCCAAAGAACACCATACCTACTGTGAAGCATGGGGGTGGAAACATCATGCTTTGGGGCTGTTTTTCTGCAAAGGGACCAGGACGACTGATCCGTGTAAAGGAAAAAATGAATGGGGCCATGTATCGTGAGATTTTGAGTGAAAACCTCCTTCCATCAGCAAGGGCATTGAAGATGAAACGTGGCTGGGTCTTTCAGCATGACAATGATCCCAAACACACCACCCGGGCAACGAAGGAGTGGCTTCGTAAGAAGCATTTCAAGGTCCTGGAGTGGCCTAGCCAGTCTCCAGATCTCAACCCCATAGAAAATCTTTGGAGGGAGTTGAAAGTCCGTGTTGCCCAGCGACAGCCCCAAAACATCACTGCTCTAGAGGAGATCTGCATGGAGGAATGGGTCAAAATACCAGCAACAGACTTACAGAAAACGTTTGACCTGTGTCATTGCCAACAAAGGGTATATAACAAAGTATTGAGAAACTTTTGTTATTGAAAATAATACTTGACCAAATACTTATTTTCCACCATAATTTGCAAATAAATTCATTAAAAATCCTACAATGTGATTTTCTGGATTTTTTTTCTCATTTTGTCTGTCATAGTTGACATGTTCCTATGATGAAAATTACAGGCCTCTCTCATCTTTTTAAGTGGGAGAACTTGCACAATTGGTGGCTGACTAAATACTTTTTTCCCCCACTGTATATATATATATTATTTTTTTTATTTTATTTTTTGTCATTTAGCAGACGCTCTTATCCAGAGTGCATACATCATTTTTTTCTTTTTCATACTGGCCCCCCGTGGGAATCGAACCCACAACCCTGGCGTTACAAACGCCATGCACTACCAACTGAGCTACATCCCATATATAACGTGATTTGATGCCATTTTATCTGTGGCCAATGACCTTGAGCCTTCTTGGAAGGGCACTTCTAATGTAGCTCTATGGCAGCACCCAAGGGGCTTGAATTCTCGAGCTCTCCCTGTAGATTTGAACGTAACCAAATGACAGAGGATTAATGGTACATTTACTAGTCATGCTTGTGACATACAGTATGTAATGGGGAATTGATTTTTTTAAAAAAATACAAAGGGCAAACAATTCACACAATGAATGTGCAAAAATTGTCGGGAGACAGCTGAGCGCATTCTGTGCGTGACAGAACACTGAGACAATCACAGCGCAACTAGAGAACATTACCAACCCCTACGCTCCGTATTTTCCGCTGGCTGCCCCACCATCACAGAAAGCACTGAGCTAGGCTGAAGCACCTGCATTTTGGAGCTGCTTTACTCAAGAAAGCAAAAAATAGACCATGTTTGTATGCGGCTTTATTAACTCAGTGATTTTTTACATTGTTTGCAAACTTAAATGTGACACTTAATACCAAAATAACATGCAAAACAGGCAACAAAAAATAAAAACAGGCTCTGCCCCACCTGCCCTGAATGGCAGGTCGCCACTGCATATTGTCCATTTTACTTTGACCTGTCCTGTTTTTAGGATATGTTTGTTAACATGTCAGCACGTTTTATTTGATTGGGCACCATTTAGGTTAGACTATTTGATTGAAGAAACCTGCATGATGTAGAACGTTTCTTTCTCATTACATTGTCATACGTTTTATCTCCAGCCTGTAGGCTACAGAAAAGGTCATATACTCTATCTGCTACATGATTTATGTTCGATTATTTTTTGGACGGAATGTTGCAAAACAGTGTTTTAATCGGCTATTTGATGACGTGAATATAGTCTGACTAGTTGAATCTATTGAGTAGGATGGTCCTCCCCTTCCTCTGAAGAGCCTCCCCTGGTTTGTACAATAACTTCATACTAGTTTCAAAAACCAAACTTACATTTCCTAAATTGGTAATGATTATTATTTTTTAATTGGCCTACTCTATAAAAGCACTATAATATAGTGATAGACTAACAGCATTCCATATTCAAGCAGATTAGTTTGACCGACTAGGCTAGGGTTCAAACCCGGGTCTCATGCATCCTCGTAGCGGACAGTTCTCGAGTCTATTCCTCCCCACTCGGCATTGGCCCATTCAAGCGCCTCCCCCGTTAGACAGGAGATGAGGGCGGACACGCTCTCGTATCCCGAGGGCGCCGGGTGAATGGTGGCCAGGTAGAGCTCTACCTGGAGGAGAAATCCCTGCCACCCGTCATATGCCCTTGGGAGCGAGAGCCGAATCCCACTGGACCCAGATGGCGGAGTGGTGACCAGTGTTGTAGGTGGTTGAGTGGTTGGAGATGGTGACGGGATACCACCTCTCTCCGATCGTTCCATCGTCTGGAACACTCGTTCCATGGTGACACCGAGAGTCTGAATCATCATCTCGTCGTTGGACTCGTTCCTCCATCGTCTCGGTTAATCCGGCTGTTCCTACTGACTCCATAATGGTGCGTGTTTCTGTCAAGAATGTCTGTGGAATGCGGTAGGCCAGAGTCAAGCGCAGGACACAGAATGAAATGAAAATCTACTTTACTGTATAGTAAAGAAACAAGCAAAACCTCCAACACAGGGAGGCGCAACCCGCTCACAAACGACACTCGTAACAATAAACAAACACGCACAACACACAGTGGGAGCGAACAGGTTAAATAGGGAAGGACATAATACATAATGGGAAACAGATGTGCAACATTAGACAACAACCAGATGAACATAGAAACATAAAACATAGATCGGCAGCAGCCAGTACTCCGGTGACGACGAACGCCGAAGCCTGCCCGAGCCAGAAGGAAGGCCAGTCTCGGCAGAATCCGTGACACTCCCGACAATTCTTGCACATTTATTGTGTAAATTGTGTGCCCTTTGTTTGTATTTTTTTAAATCAATTCCCCATTACATACTGTATGTCACAAGCATGCCTAGTAAATGTGCCATTAATCCTCTGTCATTTGGTTACATTCATTTCTGTTAAAACGCCCTAAGGTTGATGTCCGCACCCCCGCGTAATAAAGCATAATAAAAAATAAAAAAATTGTTTTTTTTTTTGCATTATATATGTCTCAATCCATCCGCCTATGTCGCACTTCCGCATCTGCAAAGGTGACGGTGCTAGAGCAGTGTTTGTCAGACCATGAGACATCATGAAAATCGTTCTTCTCACAAAATCGTCGGTGGTGTCTGCAGTGGCGATTCTAGCATGTTCATCTTGGTGGGGCAAAAAAAAAAGAAGTGGGTTGCATGCCAGCAAAGCCACTACACAACACAACACTAAACAATGCATTAATTGCACTATAATGGTGACAAACGGTGACCACAAACTGTTTCGCTCTAGGATGCACACAGGCCTCACATGACTCGTCTGAAGGTCTCCCGGTACCAGTTGAAAAAATGAATGGAAGTATACCTATCTGGAGACCTTTAATGCCAAAAACATGTAAAAAAATAAATAATAATAAACATCCCTGATCTTTCTTAAATCTCTCAGATATAGGAGAGACACTTCAGAACAAACTTCCTTTTGATATTTTTTGGGGACTATCTGTTGTTCCATGTAGTTAATCTGTTATTCAATGCGTTTTTTATGGGCTAATAGCAGTAAGGACCAAAATGTTTTTTAATCTATTTTTTTGATACTTCAAGGGGACTTAAAATTCAAAATCAAATAGCTACATGACCCTTGGTATGACCTTCTTAAAACAATTTCATATAGCTTAGTAGAACCCCCCTCCATTCCTCTGCTAAGACAGGGCTAAGACTGATGGATTAATGCATGTATTAATTACAGTAATTTACCTTACAGTTCTCATTATCAGAGTGGAAACTTTGCAGGGTTCACAACCTGCTACACTGGTGAGAAACAAGTTTTGGTTTATTTCATAACCATGATTTTGTATTGTCTTTTGTTTGGAGTGCTCCATGTGAGCAATGAGCATGTGTCTGGTTTCTCTCTAGGAACATACAGAGGGAATGCACGTGCCTGAGCACACATAGAAGTAGGCCTACCTGGCCTGCTGTGTGCATATGTAGGAAAGTGCCCATTTGGGATGTCTGATTTCTGATTGTCTTAACTCACCATGTCTAAAACTAATAAACTGATCTTCTCTTTCATTTTCTTCTTCTGTTTTTTTTTATTTTTACATTCTTTGCGAATAATAATAGTTCTCTCCCTGCCTTGATAATCACCAAACCTCAGTGTGAAAGATAAACATGATCTAATGATCCCATATATCCAGTGGAAATGTCAGAAAAAAACAGCTGTCTGTCCCGAGCTCACTGGTGCAGGAAACTAGTCAGACAGGCAGCGTAGAGATGAATGTTATTTGAAAGAACCTGAATTTTCATCAGGATATTTTCTTCTGGTTTTATTTGTCGGCTTTAGGCCTATGTATTTTACTTAGTTGATGATGGAAGTTATTGACCTATATGTAGGCAGGGCTGGTCCCCAGACATTGAAAATATGTATTTTATGGACATTGAAATCAGATTCATTTTCGGTTTTGAATGAAAGTTGAAAAGACAACATTTATAGACGTCTATGTTTAGTCCAAATCAAGGCTGGTCCAGACCGGACCAAATCTGAACCAAACATAGACATCTGAACCAAACATAGACATGGACGTGGAAATCAAGGCCGGTCCGGACAAGACCAAAAAATACATCCAAAAGGCGTCGGCGTTGGTCCGTGCCTACTGAGGTATAGCCTACAGTGTCGCCTGAAATAGAATTTTAGGAATGCCCATCAATGTGGTAGGCCTACCATTTGTAAAACACCAAAAAAGAAGTCCAAAAGGCGTCAGTGTCGATCCGTGCTTACTGGGGTGTAGCCTACCATGTCGGCCTGCAATGGAATTTTATGAATGCACATCCATGTGGTAGGCCCACCGTTTGTAAAACAGGCCATTGCATTGGCTTTATTAGTCCTGATATTTGGCTATTTAACACTGAATATCTGCTCCCCAACTTTATCAGGAGGAGTTATCCTGAGCCTATATGCAATGTGTTTACATAGCGGGAAATGCAGAAGCATATTCTTTTTCGCAATGATCAGCTCGTCAAAAATGTACGAAATACAAACCCGAAACCACTGATCATTACAAATTAGCCCACGGGATGAATCTCCTGGACAGCAGTTGTAAGTAGCCTGATTGTCCATTACATATTGTCAGTGGCGATTTTAGCTTGTAAATCTTGGTGAGGCAAACAAAAACAAAACAAAATTATGCATTCCAGCAAAGCCACTACACAACACTAAACAATACATTCATTGGACTATAACAGTGACAAACGGTGGCCACAAACTGTTAGGGCCTACATAAAGCTGTCCCAACAGCAGAGTCCCAACAGCAGTCGCAACACCTTACCACTGTTACACCTGGCTATCAGCAGAGCCTTGTCTGGCAGCGAAACAGTTCATTCAGCCTCATTTACTGCCTTTAAAAAAAACATAGCTGATATGGCTGACTTGCTTAAACAAATGTGGTTTCTACTGACAATTGAGATGTACAAACTATGGCATAAGGGGACGACGAGCGGAAAAGAGGCAATCCGTAATTTCGATTAAGACAATGAGCGAGCTAGGACGGATGTAGTCAGTATAACTATTTGTTCAGCACTTTTGAAATGTACAGCGACAGAATTCAGAAAATGGGCCGTTCTTACAGTATTCTCCCTGTACACAAGTCAGAACTGTACGATAAATAAAGCTCTTACAATATGCGATGATGGCATTTCTTTAAAACAGTATATAGGCTACATGTGCACCACCAAGTCAGAACAGTAGGCTAAATTATGAGGGGAAAAGGGACCAAATTATTAGGGTGAGGCACATGGGCTACTAACAGCTTACTACACAACATACACTTAGTATTACTTTCTTAGCTACAGTATACAGTGGGGGAAAAAAGTATTTAGTCAGCCACCAATTGTGCAAGTTCTCCCACTTAAAAAGATGAGAGAGGCCTGTAATTTTCATCATAAGTACACGTCAACTATGACAGACAAATTGAGAATTTTATTTCCAGAAAATCACATTGTAGGATTTTTTATGAATTTATTTGCAAATTATGGTGGAAAATAAGTATTTGGTCACCTACAAAGAAGCAACATTTCTGGCTCTCACAGACCTGTAACTTCTTCTTTAAGAGGCTCCTCTGTCCTCCACTCGTTACCTGTATTAATGGCACCTGTTTGAACTTGTTATCAGTATAAAAGACACCTGTCCACAACTTCAAACAGTCACACTCCAAACTCCACTATGGCCAAGACCAAAGAGCTGTCAAAGGACACCAGAAACAAAATTGTAGACCTGCACCAGGCTGGGAAGACTGAATCTGCAATAGGTAAGCAGCTTGGTTTGAAGAAATCAACTGTGGGAGCAATTATTAGGAAATGGAAGACATACAAGACCACTGATAATCTCCCTCGATCTGGGGCTCCACGCAAGATCTCACCCCGTGGGGTCAAAATGATCACAAGAACGGTGAGCAAAAATCCCAGAACCACACGGGGGGACCTAGTGAATGACCTGCAGAGAGCTGGGACCAAAGTAACAAAGCCTACCATCAGTAACACACTACGCCGCCAGGGACTCAAATCCTGCAGTGCCAGACGTGTCCCCCTGCTTAAGCCAGTACGTGTCCAGGCCCGTCTGAAGTTTGCTAGAGTGCATTTGGATGATCCAGAAGAGGGTTGGGAGAATGTCATATGGTCAGATGAAACCAAAATAGAACTTTTTGGTAAAAACTCAACTCGTCGTGTTTGGAGGACAAAGAATGCTGAGTTGCATCCAAAGAACACCATACCTACTGTGAAGCATGGGGGTGGAAACATCATGCTTTGGGGCTGTTTTTCTGCAAAGGGACCAGGACGACTGATCCGTGTAAAGGAAAAAATGAATGGGGCCATGTATCGTGAGATTTTGAGTGAAAACCTCCTTCCATCAGCAAGGGCATTGAAGATGAAACGTGGCTGGGTCTTTCAGCATGACAATGATCCCAAACACACCACCCGGGCAACGAAGGAGTGGCTTCGTAAGAAGCATTTCAAGGTCCTGGAGTGGCCTAGCCAGTCTCCAGATCTCAACCCCATAGAAAATCTTTGGAGGGAGTTGAAAGTCCGTGTTGCCCAGCGACAGCCCCAAAACATCACTGCTCTAGAGGAGATCTGCATGGAGGAATGGGTCAAAATACCAGCAACAGACTTACAGAAAACGTTTGACCTGTGTCATTTCCAACAAAGGGTATATAACAAAGTATTGAGAAACTTTTGTTATTGAAAATAATACTTGACCAAATACTTATTTTCCACCATAATTTGCAAATAAATTCATTAAAAATCCTACAATGTGATTTTCTGGATTTTTTTTCTCATTTTGTCTGTCATAGTTGACATGTTCCTATGATGAAAATTACAGGCCTCTCTCATCTTTTTAAGTGGGAGAACTTGCACAATTGGTGGCTGACTAAATACTTTTTTCCCCCACTGTATATATATATATATTTTTTTTTTTGTCATTTAGCAGACGCTCTTATCCAGAGTGCATACATCATTTTTTTCTTTTTCATACTGGCCCCCCGTGGGAATCGAACCCACAACCCTGGCGTTGCAAACGCCATGCACTACCAACTGAGCTACATCCCATATATAACGTGATTTGATGCCATTTTATCTGTGGCCAATGACCTTGAGCCTTCTTGGAAGGGCACTTCTAATGTAGCTCTATGGCAGCACCCAAGGGGCTTGAATTTTCGAGCTCTCCCTGTAGATTTGAACGTAACCAAATGACAGAGGATTAATGGTACATTTACTAGTCATGCTTGTGACATACAGTATGTAATGGGGAATTGATAAAAAAAAAAAACATACAATCAAAGGGCAAACAATTCACACAATGAATGTGCAAAAATTGTCGGGAGACAGCTGAGCGCATTCTGTGCGTGACAGAACACTGAGACAATCACAGCGCAACTAGAGAACATTACCAACCCCTACGCTCCGTATTTTCCGCTGGCTGCCCCACCATCACAGAAAGCACTGAGCTAGGCTGAAGCACCTGCATTTTGGAGCTGCTTTACTCAAGAAAGCAAAAAATAGACCATGTTTGTATGCGGCTTTATTAACTCAGTGATTTTTTACATTGTTTGCAAACTTAAATGTGACACTTAATACCAAAATAACATGCAAAACAGGCAACAAAAAATAAAAACAGGCTCTGCCCCACCTGCCCTGAATGGCAGGTCGCCACTGCATATTGTCCATTTTACTTTGACCTGTCCTGTTTTTAGGATATGTTTGTTAACATGTCAGCACGTTTTATTTGATTGGGCACCATTTAGGTTAGACTATTTGATTGAAGAAACCTGCATGATGTAGAACGTTTCTTTCTCATTACATTGTCATACGTTTTATCTCCAGCCTGTAGGCTACAGAAAAGGTCATATACTCTATCTGCTACATGATTTATGTTTGATTATTTTTTGGACGGAATGTTGCAAAACAGTGTTTTAATCGGCTATTTGATGACGTGAATATAGTCTGACTAGTTGAATCTATTGAGTAGGATGGTCCTCCCCTTCCTCTGAAGAGCCTCCCCTGGTTTGTACAATAACTTCATACTAGTTTCAAAAACCAAACTTACATTTCCTAAATTGGTAATGATTATTATTTTTTAATTGGCCTACTCTATAAAAGCACTATAATATAGTGATAGACTAACAGCATTCCATATTCAAGCAGATTAGTTTGACCGACTAGGCTAGGGTTCAAACCCGGGTCTCATGCAGCGTACCCCAAGACCGTTAGCCCGCTGAGCAAAACCCACTTGCTTAGGGAGGTAACGCAACTTAGTTACCAATTACGCAATCAAGGGTCAATGAACCATTACATTAGCATATCATTAGACCGCCTTGCTTAAAAACAAAGTAAGATTTTTTCCAAGAATGGTTTTAAGATCAATTTGAAATGATCATATGTAATCAAAGTAATCATATGTTCCGTAACTCTTCATAATAGAAAATAACAAGAATAGGAATTCCATATACACCAAACAAATTTATTGAATTACCTTCCAGAGGTCCAAACAATCATTCCAACTGTCCCATTCTTCTGTCCAAGGCTGCATAGAGATCAGTGTGAGATCAACCTGCCACTAAAACCAATTGTCTTTAAGTTATAAAGTTAGTTTCTGTTCAATCATTAGTTTTATAGTAAAGCAATCTAGCTATTAATGTTACGCATCAAAATCCCACTTCCTTAGTGTTGGGACTGTTTTGATGGTTTGTTGTGATTCTGAATATGATGGGAGCATAAGGCTACTGGCATACATTGGGTACATTTGCAGTTGGGTTGATCTGATGAGAACTTGTTGTGTGGAAAAAGCCAAACTAACAGGCAAGAGTTGAGCCAGAGGAGAGATAAGTGGAAGATAGAAAGTAATGAACAAAACAAATGACAGTATTATGAACATCTAAAGCAATCTCTGAAACTGTTAAGAAAACTTTATTGTTACTGTGCATGTTCACCTACTACTTTCTAAACAGCTTTTACCACCAAATCCACTGTTTCTTCTGCCTTTCTCCGAAGCCCTATCTGTTCCCCACATTTGCCCCTCAAACTGCTGAAGAGGGAAAATGTAACACTATAGAAAAAAAAGGAATTAGAAGTCCATAAGTCCATGGTGTCTCGTCCCTCAGGGGGATCAAAGAGCTGTGAACCAGCCAGGCCACCAGGGGGCTACATCACTTTAGCCGTTGCACGATGACTGCGTTGAGCAGGTTGGCATCCCGCAGCGTCTGGCTCTCGTCAGTCAGCTCCTTGTTGGGGAAGGTTGTTATGAGCACAAACTCTGTCGCGGCCATCAAAGGTCGAGCTCCCACCACAAACTGACGCACGTCCGACACCCTGTGGACAAGTAGAGAAAATATGGTGTTTGTCATGGTAGGACTAAGGCGATGTAGAGCTTAATGGCTCCAAAACTGACCTGTGAGTGTGGTTGAACTTCTGCACCAGTCTCCCCCCGTCGGCCAGTCTGATCTGGATGTTGGTTACAGGCTGGGAGGCATCCAGGTTCACAGAGGCGATGGCCTGGGCCTCACTGGCTACCTGGTCCCCCATCCGCGGAGCAGACACCACCAGCTCAGGAGTGGCACTGAATGGAGGAGTGAGGCAGGAAAGAGAGATGTTTATTGTGATTACTGTATTTGACATTGATTTGTTAAAGAAAATATTATAATTGACCTCAGAAGACAATATCAGGTTTTGAAAAATTGTTGGGTTACATTATGATTTTAACTCTTAATTTCTTGAAAACGTCATCAAATACAATATTACATTGTGCCATAATTCCCTTTTCTACCCCCTTGTGGTAATACGATGTAACAGCCACCCTATTTCATCTGAGAATCTTTGGGTTGTACCCAAATCTAAAAACTCCAGTGATGAAAAGTAGGTTATGTTCTTGTTCCAATTCAAATTTCTTCCATGGCAGGTAGACAGACAGGCGAGTCGATACAATTTACATTACCCTTCTAGAAAAGTGTTTCCAAACTCCAGTCCTCGAGTACCCCCAACAGCACACATTTTTGTTGTAACCCTGGACAAAAACACCTGATTCAACTTGTCAAGGGCTTGATGATTAGTTGAATCAGGTGTGCTTGTCAGGAGCCACAACAAAAATATGTACTGTTGGGGGTACTGGAGGACCTGAGTTGGGAAACACTGTTCTAGGTGATGCATTCTGTCAGAATAGAGCGGGCTCACCTGCCCAGTTTCTGTCCTTCCCCGCCGAATGCCTTGAAGGCAACCTTGGGTTTGGAGAAGTCCTCATCCCGATGGTCTTCCATATCCAAGTTGACCTGACCCCCCCGGGAGCGCTGTCTCAACTCCAAAGGAATCTCTCTGAAAGGTAGAATGACTTAAATTATGACAATGCTTCAGCAATAAGGAAACAGACTTCAGAGAGAGACATGTATCCTCCAGCTGTCCAGTGCTGAGCAGAATGTGTATGCCATAAATGCATTTATAACTTAGTAAATGGATTTAGGAACATGATGTGACATGAGCAGCCATGCATATAAACAGTATGACAAGGAGACAGTACGGACAGTGTACTCACCCCCTACGGATGGACTCCAGGAAAATGGCGTTGCCAGGATCACTGTAGTTTCTGAGTTCACCGTCGCCCAAGCTGAAACCTGTCTTCCACAGCTTCAGGACTACATGCACCTTCAGCACGTAGTAAAGAAAATAGGCTACATCAAGTATACTGAAGTAAATGTAATCTTCCAAGATCAAATTTATACTAGCAATACAAAATATCTATCAAAATAAATTCACTGTCAAACACTAACATCCTGCTGGCTGTTAGCAGTTCTTCTCTCTCCAGCCACATAAACAGGCTCCTCCTCAGGCGCTGCACCAAGCCGGTAGCCACCACCAATGAACGGCTAGAAGGAGGGTTAGAGGAGAAAAAGAGTAAGCAAAACATTATACACCATTACCTCTATGATTTAAGGTCAATTCCAAAAAACAGGGCTAGTAACACATACATGTGATCAGTAAATGAAAGAGAAGTAATCCAGGTGCAGGACACAATTACTGAGAAGCTTTTCTTACCCTGGCTCGACTAGGCTCTCCTGGGCCTCTCCCAGCCTTCTCCACGGGTACGGCCCCATGCTCCTTAGCCCCCTTGAACAGGTCCTCCACCACCTCATTAGAGCTCTTCTTCTTGGGGGGGCCCACAATCTGCTGCCCACTGCGTTCAGAACCCCCAGCAAAGAACCTAGAGGGAAGCAAAGCAAGAATGTGGATACAACACAACCTGAATTTTGGATCTTGTCCAAGAGGCAGCCTCTGGTTACAACATCAGTGCTGTGATTCAAATAAATCAAATCTTATTTGTCACATGCTTCAAAAGCAACAGATGTAGACTAACAGTGAAATGCTTACTTACGGGCCCTTCCCAACAATGCAGAGAGAAATAAACACGAGGAATAATAGAAAATAGACAAATAATAACATGAGGAGTGAATGAGTAACGATAACTTGGCTATATACACGGGGTACCTGTACCAAGTTAAAGTGCAGGGGCACAAGGTAATTGAGGTAGATATGTGCATATAGTTATGGATAAAGTGACTAGGAAACAAGATAGATAAACAGTAGCAGCAGTGTATATGATGAGTCAAAAGAGTTGGTGCAAATACGGTCAATGCAGATTGTTAAATAGTTAACCAATAATAAAAATAGTTAACCCGGACTAACTAGCAGTCTTAGTTAGCAGTCTTATGGCTTGGGGGTAGAAGCTGTTCATGGTCCTGTTGGTTCCAGACTTGGTGCATCGGTACCGCTTTCCGTGCAGTAGCAGAGAGAACAGTCTTACTTGGGTGGCTGGAGTCTGACCGTTTTTAGAGCCTTCATCTGACGCTGCCTGGAATAGAGGTCCTGGATGGCAGGGAGCTCGGCACTAGTGATGTACTGGGCCGTACGCACTACCCTTTGTAGAGCCTTGCGGTCAGATGCCAATTAGTTGCCATGCCAAGCGGTGAAGCAGCCAGTCAAGATGCTCTCAAATTGTGCAGCTGTATAACTTTGAGGATCTGAGGGCACATGCCTAATCTTTTCAGCCTCCTGAGGGGAAAGAAGCGTTGTCGGGCCTTTTTCACGACTGTGTTGGTGTGTGGACCATGATAATTCCTTAGTGATGTGGACACTCCACTACAGCTCCGTCGATGGGGGCATGCTCGGCCCTCCGTTTCCTGTAGTCCACTATCAGCTCCTTTATCTTGCTGACGTTGAGGGAGAAGTTGTTGTCCTGGCACCACACTGCCAGGTCACCGACCTCCTCCCTATAGGCTGTCTCATCGTTGTCGGTGATCAGGCCAACCACTGTCACGTCGTCAGCAACCTTAATGATGGTGTTGGAGTTGTGCGAGGCCATTCAGTCGTGGGTAAACAGGGAGTACATGAGGGGACTAAGCTCGCACCCCTGAGGGGCCCCGTGTTGAGGGTCAGCGTGGCGGATGTGTAGTTGCCTACCCTCACCAGCTGGGGGTGGCCCATCAGGAATTCCAGGATCCAGTTGCAGAGGGAGGTGTTCAGTCCCAGGGTCCTGTGGTTAGCAATGAGGTGTTGAATGCTGAGCTAATCAACGAACAGCATTCTTACATACAGTGCATTCGGAAAGTATTCAGACCCCTCGACTTTTTCCATATTTTGTTACGTTACAGCCTTATTCTAAAATGGATTTTTAAAAAAAATTCCTCATCAATCTACACACAATACCACACAATATATTTTTGCAAATGTATTCAAACTAAAACACTTAAATATCACATTTATATAAGTATTCAGACCCTTTACTCAGTACTTTGTTGAAGCACCTTTGGCAGCGATTACAGCCTCGAGTCTTCTTGGGTATGACGCTACAAGCTTGGCAAACCTGTATTTGGAGAGTTTCGCCAAATCTTTTCTGCAGATCCTCTCAAGCTCTGTCAGGTTGGATGGAGAGCTTTGCTGCACAGCTATTTCCAGGTCTCTCCAGAGATGTTCGATCGGGTTCAAATCCGGGCACTGGCTGGGCCATTCAAGAACATTCAGAGACTTGTCCCGAAGCCACTCCTGCGTTGTCTTGGCTGTGTGCTTAGGGTCGTTGTCCTGTTGGAAGGTGAACCTTCGCCCCAGTCGGAGGTCCTGAGCGCTCTGGAGCAGGTTTTCATCAAGGATCTCTCTGTACCACATGGCTTGGTTTTTGCTCTGTCATGCACTGTCAACTGTGGGACCTTATATAGACAGGTGCGTGCCTTTCCAAATCATGTCCAATCAATTGAATTTACCACAGGTGGACTCATCTCAAGGATGATCAATGGAAACAGGATGCACCTGAGCTCAATTTCGAGTCTCGTAGCAAAGGGTCTGAACATTTATGTAAATAAGGTATCCGTTTTTTATTTGTAATAAATTAGCAACATGTTCTAAAAACCTGTTTTCGCTTTGTCATTATGGGATATTGTGTGTAGATTGATGAGGAAAAAGATTTATTTAATCCAGTTTAGAATAAGGCTGTAACGTAACAAAATGTGGAAAAACTCAAGGGGTCTGAATACTTTCCGAATGCACTGTAGGTGTTCCTCTTGTCCAGGTGTGAGAGGGAAGTGTGGAGTGCATGTGCACTAGAGAATGCATCATCTGTGGATCTGTTGGGGCGGTATGCGAATTGGAGTAGGTCCAGGGTGTCTGGGATGATGGTGTTGATGTGAGCCATGACCAGCCTTTCAAAGCATTTCATGGCTACAGATGTGAGTGCTACGCGCCGAGAGTCATTTAGACAGGTTACCTTGGCGAACTTGGGCACAGGGACTATGGTGGTCTGCTTGAAACACGTAGGTATTACAGACTGGGGCAGGGAGAGGTTGAAAATGTCAGTGAAGACATTTGCCGGTCAGCGAATGCTCCGAGTACGCGTCCTGTTAATCCGTCTGCCCCTGCAGCCTTGTGAATGTTAACCTGTTTAAAGGTCTTACTCACATCGGCTATGGAGAGCGAGATCACAGTCGTCCGGAACAGCTGGTGCTTTCATGCATGGTTCAGTGTTGCTTTCCTTGGAAGCGAGCATAGAATACATTTAGCTTGTCTGGTATGCTCATGTCACACATGTTACAATAATTATATTTTGTTTGTTTTTACTCCTGAACTTCCTCTACCCTCAACCTCTCCAATCATTTTCATGATGTCCATCCGGTTTGCTTCTATATGCCATATCTTTCTAACTGTGCTCTTTCACAAAAGCTCTCAACCTATAACCTATATACTTATTATGGACACAGTATGCTTAAATTATTTGTTATCTTGTTGTTATTAGTTGTTGTTAGTTGTTATTAGTCCCATCCTTCAACTCCATTCAACACCACCCATCTATCTCTTAACACCATCCATATTGGATTTCTATTTGCCATATATTTTTCAACTGTACTGTGATGTTTTACAAAAGTTCTGAACCTTTCTATTCTCATTGTTTCTACAGATTGTACATTGAAAATAAATTTTTTTGCTAAAAGTATTATTAGATTATTGATCGATTGACTATGACTTTTCAGATCACCCAGTAATGCTATCTGCAGGGTTAGCTCCAGGTAAATATTGCAATCCTTTAGCCATTCCTGGACCTGTGTCCAAAAACAAGCTACAAATGGACAGTACCAAAACAAATGATCTAATGATTCTGTCTCTTCGCAGCAAAATCTGCAGAGCTGGGAAGATTGTATCCCCCATATAAATAACATTATATTGGTAGTAAGAACTTTATATAATAATTTAAATTGAAAAATTCTAAGGTTTTGAATCCGGCGTCGTTTTGCGTATCAGTTCATAAACACTATGCAATGGGATCGGTACGTCAAGAATCTCTCCAACTATTTTGCAATCTATATGGGAAGGCTGTCAATCCTTTGGTCCTTAAATGAAACTGGTATACTTTATTATTTATCACAATTTTCTTTAACCAATTATGTTCTTTAATGCAAGGCCGACAGACAAGTTCCTTACATTTTCCCCCTTCCATTTTTGCGGTAATGCTGCAATTATTTGGTTGTAATTTTGGGTAGAGCAGACATTTCCATATGTTTTTGTTAGCTGCATGTGCGACAACTCCACCAGTCCTACCGATGATATCATTTACGAAGATTATACCTTTTTTAAACATTGTCCAAAAAAATGGTTTTTTATCTATTAGTATATTTGAGTTTAACCACAATATTTGTTGCATTATTTGTTCTGTAGTTTCTGGAGGATTCAACTGAAATTGCAACCAACTTTCTATGGCTTGTTTTAGAAATAGTGATATTTGGGAGATGATTTCCTTTTCAAATAACTGAAAGTGTGAGGTTGTAATCTGAATAAAGGGAAAAGGCCATTCTTGAACATTGGGTGAGACAATCTTACTAATTTGCTAGAGAACCAGTTCGGATTTAAGTATAACTTTTGTATGACTGAAGCTTTTAGTGATAGGTCTAATGCTTTAATATTTAATCTTTCTATTGACAAGTAGAAGAATAACACAGGGACACACCCCCACCCAGCAGAATCTGTTGATGCAACAGAAAGCAATACCAGCCTACAGAGAACTGAATAGAGAAACCAAAATAGTTTGGAACATTCTGGAGGCACCCTACACGCTGTCCAAAATACACATAGCCTAGGCCTACATGCAATGTGAAATGCAAATCAAATCAAATTTAATTTGCCATATGCGCCGAATACAACAGGTGTAGACATTACCGTGAAATGCTTACTTACAGCCCTTAACCAACAATGCATTTCTTTTTTTATAAAAAAGTAAAATAAAACAAAAAAGTGTTGAGAAAAAAAGAGCAGAAGTAAAATAAAATAACAGTAGTGAGGCTATATACAGGGGGGTACCGGTGCAGAGTCAATGTGCGGGGGCACCGGCTAGTTGAGGTAATATGTACATGTGGGTAGAGTTAAAGTGACTATGCATAAATCATTAACTGAGTAGCAGCGTAAAAAGATGGGGTGGGGGTGTGGGGGTGGGCAGTGCAAGTAGTCCGGGTAGCCATGATTAGCTGTTCAGGAGTCTTATGGCTTGGGGGTAGAAGCTGTTGAGAAGCCTTTTCGACCTAGACTTGGCGCTCCGGTACCACTTGCTGTGCGGTAGCAGAGAGAACAGTCTATGACTAGGGTGGCTGGAGTCTTTGACAATTTTGAGGACCTTCCTCTGACACTGCCTGATATAGAGGTCCTGGATAGCAGGAAGCTTGGCCCCAGTGATGTACTGGGCCGTACGCACTACCCTCTGTAGTGCCTTGCAGTCGGAGGCCGAGCAGTTGTCATACCAGGCGGTGATGCAACCAGTCAGGATGCTCTCGATGGTGCAGCTGTATAACTTTTTGAGGATCTGAGGACCCATGCCAAATCTTTTCAGTGCCCTCTTCATGACTGTCTTGGTGTGTTTGGACCATGATAGCTTGTTGGTGATGTGGACACCAAGGAACTTGAAGCTCTCAACCTGTTCCACTACAGCCCCGTCGATGAGAATGGAGGCATGCTCAGCATACACCCTAAAGTCATAGAAGTATAGACAGACTTACCTTTCCCCTTCTTCCTCATCACTGTCATCTTCTTCCTCATGCATCATATCCCTGAAGGAGGTCACCCTATTTTCACTCCTTTACACACAACAAAATAACAATGAATGACAATAAGGTCAAACATTAATCATGTAACATGAAATGTTTCATAGAATATTCATAAAAAAAGGATGACAAAGGCAACACTGAAAGGACTTGGGCATTCTGTTTTAATCGGTACAGAGAATGACAGTGTAACAATAGATTTACGGAGGTCAGTTAGCTATGTACCTGCCAGGCCCTGTGGAACGAGGCACAGAGGATCCACCGCTCTCTGGCTGAGGAAGTGTCACAATGTCATCCTCAGCACCATCTTCAAAGAAACTGGCCAGGGCAAGCTAAGGAAAGAGACCAAGATCTCAATGTCTAGTCATAGTCTAAAGCTGATTGCTAGCTATCTAGCTAGTTAGAGCTTACTTGTTTACTTTACTTGCCTAATAAAAAAAAGGTAGCTACCTACTAGTAACTTTAGTTAGCTGTGAAGGATGTTCTTCAACATACTTGCTAGCAATTAACGTTAGAATGGGAAAAATCAGATAAATTAGCCATCCTCTCAGTGACTAGATGGAAAATGTTGTTAGGTAGTTATGAAGTTGGCTTACTGCTGGACCATAATATCTGCCAATCGGCTAGTTAACTAACGCGTTAGCTACAATAGCTAACCTGCTAGCTAGCTTGTTAGCCAGATAGTTAGCTAGAACGCAGTGAGCCATTCATAAATGAAACGGACTTGTTAGCAAGTTAACGTTAAACTAGCTACTAGACAGTGGTAGTAAAACATTGGTATCTGTATGAAACGGATTGGTAGATATAGCTAGATGCCAGGGAATAAGACCGCAATGGTCACTCGATCTATTGTTGTGAGAAAGAGTGACTTGCACAAATCACCAGCAGAAACTAGTACGGACGGTAGCTAGCCTGCTAGTAAGTGCTAACTAGCTACTGTCATTCGTATGTTGTTGTGAGTTCAATTCAAATATCACATGTAGTACAACTGGTAGGTCGATGTGATCAGCATGTACCTGCAAATCCCAACCGGCAGACTCCAAGAAAAAACGGGCCCTCTCCTCATCAACATCAGTAACAGCAACGAACTCCCTCACCGACACTTCTTGGTCCGCCATTTTGATATGCCCATTCAATGACTGTTCCGACTTCACTTGGGGAAACACCTACCAACTTGGTTCCTATCTCAGCAAAATGCAGTAGGCTACAGGAGGGTAAGGCAAACAGGCCTACATGTGAACAACAATGTTTATGAAATGTTGTATTTTCCTGACAAAGTTTATACATTTTATTTGGAGGAATAGTATTCCACATACATCTGACATTTATATCTAAAATTGTATTATCTGTAGGCTATTAGCATAGTTACAGCTTCCAGGCCTCACTCACAAAGTTGAGGTGAAGAAAGCCTGGTAGGGGCTAGTATTACAATAACAAATATACCGGTATTTTCTGCCATAACAAAGGGGCAATCTGGGATTTGAAAAAACAACAAAGCAGTCACGGCGCCACTTGTTTTTCTAAACAGCTGAGGGATGGGACTGGAGAAGTGTAACCACTCTCAAATTCATAGACAGAGCTATGGATACAAGGACTGACCATGCATGCGATGAACATTTTAGTTTTAACCACATTTTAAAAATCTATATTGGTGTTTGTTTACAATCAAAACAAGCTTACAATTCCCCTGGGCGATCTGTTAAGATTTGCATTTTAATTGTTTCTTCGTTTAACCTGTCTCCTCTCATCTACACTGATTGAAGTGGATTTAACAAGTGACATTAATAAGGGATCATAGCTTTCACCTGATCAGTCTATGTCATGGAAAGAGCTCTTAATGTTTTGTATACTCAGTGTAGATTGGTAGATTAATGAATTGACCATAGTGCTCTCACTGTGAGGCCATAATAAACACTGCTTTTCCTGTTTTCTTCTGCTCAGGTGTGAAAACAGCTGGGCCAGGGCAGGCAAAGCATATGATGTAGTGATATGCATTACAAAAATCCTAAACCAACAATTAATATACTGAATTTCTACAGCAATCATATTTTAGACACCAGCCTTTAACCACACTTAAATTCCATAATGTACAACAGACTATGGCATTAAGATATTGACAACAGTTTTATATAGCCTTCACCTGAATATACACGTTTTCTAATGGTAACCTGTGTTTTTGATTCTCTCAATAGAGAGACAGGTTACAGCGGATTGAGGATCAAGATTATTCAAGAAAAATAATTTTTTCTTAGAACATTTCCAATGTATCTGAGGCATATTTAGTCTATGCATTTTTATTTGTCTCTGATTTGAATACTGTCTCTGTTCATCTCTAGTGATTGATCAATGTGCAGTATACTCCATATTTCATGTCATATGCTATATCAAGTGAGAGGGGCAAACTGAGGCGTCTGATCTTTGTGACTATTTCTTCATGCCTACAGCTTAAAATGAACATGTTCAATCTGTTGTCTTACTGTGTTCTCATTCCTTACAATACTATTTATCTAATTTTTGTTTATGGTCAGATTTCAAAGAGCCTTTTAACGATTTTAATTAAGACTAGCTTATCAAAACAGGATAGTCAATATATCAATATTATCACTAATAAATAAATAAAATACATTCTAGTTCCTTGGTTCCTGGAATTATGCCTCCAGTTCACCTAGAATCAAACAGATGTGCTGCACATAATTAGACCAATGCATTGTCATAATGCGCCACTAGATGGCAACAAAATGTTAAAATTGGTTTAGACCGGGAGCACCTGCTACCTCACATTAGAAATACCACAAGCAGCTTCAATAGCTGGTCTTCATTTTAAAAAAAAGTATTGTACATCCATACTCTCTTTCTAAGGGAGATGCTCTGTGACTCTTCACAAGCACACACTGATGACACCTGTCATGTTGTTTACCTACTCCAGCAGCCATAAGTTAGCTCTGGACTGAAATTCCTCTGTGTGAAATGTAATGTACACAAACAAAGAAAATCCATCACGTTACCACAGATCCCTGTTTCTGAAAACGATCATTCTAAACCAACACTCGTAAATCTTTTTATTAAAAAAATCACCATTCTGAAGAAAATAATTCTAATTTGTGATATAGCTCACCTTTGGTCCCAAACATCTATGTTCCAGACATGTAATAAGTGAACTGTGTAGTGTAATGTAAATGTAGTGTTGTGTAAATCTGTCAGTGTGCCTTGAGCAAGGCACTTAACCCTAATTGCTCCTGTAAGTCACTCTGAATAAGAGTGTCTGCTAAATGACAAAAATGTAAATGTAAATGTGTAATATCACAGAGCCCCCACAGGGAGCAAGCCAGCGTGGCTATGCAGGCTTTAGATAGGGAGCTTCTTAATTGTTTCTGTAGGGAAATAAAAAGATGGATTTTTAATGTGCTAGTAGCCGTTTGATTTTCAAGGCTAATTAAGTGGAGAAAATCCTTACTGTCACCATGTACCTCTCAGCCCCCATCCCTCAACATACTGTATGCACAAACACAAGCATGTGTACACACACACACACACACACACACAGAGACACACACAGACTGATTAAGTTATTTTGCATACAGAAATAACAACTTAACATTTCAGGAGTGGTTTCGGTGATTACATTTTTTTGTTTTCCCCGCCTCAGTTTTGTCTTCTTGCCCAGGGTCTGAACAATGAGGCAACAGTGCATAGATACAGAGCAAGAGAGAATGCGGGACAGAGAGTGAGAGAATGAGAGCGAGCGAGAGAGAGTGAGAACATCCAGTGACAGTGCATCTACACTGAGCTCCAGACCCCTGAGACATAAGGATTCATAGACCTATCACTCAAAAATAATACAAAAATGTGCACTGTAGAATTTTTCATTTAATAAATTGGTTTATATAGAAGTTCGTCTTGAGACAGGAGAGCTTATGATGAGTGAGACTGTAGCAAAGGCAGGCATGGAAGCAAATATAATTATCAGTGGTTGGGTTTATATTCCTGATTAACAGTAAGGCGATTCTACATCCTTGGATTTTGGTAGTATAATGTAAGTAAGTAACAGCATGAGTAACTTGTGGGAGTTGATACGGGCATCTGCCAAGCATCCATAAACCAGAGAAAAAAGAGTGACACACACAGACAACACTTACAAAAAAGGAATGGTGAAATTACCCTGCTTTCAATTCCCTCCTCAGGCAATAGCACCATGTCGTAAAATGTATGTCCTTTATGACTCCTGACAGTTTAAGAGGGTTGGATCCTCTTTCCTCCCTCTCTCTTCCTTCCACACCCTACTTGTCAGTTGATGGAAAAGGTGTGACTTTATGACCTGAGGGGCACATAGGATTTGTTTCGGAAACCTACACATTTTTTTACAGCCGTCGAGTATGATTCAAGCATATGAAAGAGATTGTACTGTCTGCCCAGAACAATTTATCCACTGTGGTTGAATTTTTGTTTAATCATTTTCATCTCTCATTCTCAATCCCTATGTATCCTTGTTGTGCAACCCCCATGTGTGTGGCTGTTTGCAGATAAGGCCATAATATATCTCCCTCCAGTCCCCTCCTGGGTGGAATGGTAGCCCAATGGCTTAGAGATGCTGCTGGGGTCAAGGCTCTGTAGCTTGTTACTGTAACTCAAACCTAAAGGTCAGCTGAGAAACTGTGCTTGTTAGCTCTGGTAGAAGTCTCTGGTGAAATGGAGCGTGTCTCTGTATCAGGTCACGACTACCAGGACACAGAGTTAAGCTTTGTAGAACACTTAACCCTAGTCTGAACTCTACTGAATCTCCATTGTCCAGTGAGTTTGCTTCGGCAGTGAGTGAGGAAAGTTCTGTGGTAGGGAAAGCAAAAACAGTAGCATCCTCTGAAATGACTGTGATGTAAATCTACAGCCTTAATTACCTAAATACGGAAGGGCTTGTCCCCCAAGTTATTCCCTGGGTTTTAACACGGTATTGTGCTGCTGCACGTGCTCAGACATAAAGATTGTGAGGTATCAACAGGAAGGAGCCAACTAAGGGACTGGAGATGTGCTGCCCTTCCATGCCCCCCACATACACACTCTGACCTTGCTTGTTTGTAACTCTGACATTTTAATCAGTGAGTCAAAACTGCATGCAGTGGTACCCCTCCATCCACATGCAGTGGTACCCCTCCATCCACATGCAGTGGTACCCCTCCATCCACATGCAGTGGTACCCCTCCATCCACATGCAGTCTCTTTCTTTTTATCTTCCTCCCTCCCTCACTCCCTCTCTATCTATCTACATACCTTCCCACCGAACTACTCATAGAAAAAAAGGTGCAATCTAGATCCTAAAAGGGTTCCTCGGCTGTCCCCATAGGAGAACCCTTTGAATAACGTTGTTGGGTTCCAGGTAGAAGAACCCTTTTGGTTCCAGGTAGAACCGTTTTTGGTTCCATGTAGAACCCTTAAAACAGAGGGTTCTACATGAAACCCCAAAGGGTTCTCTTTTTGGGGACAGCTGAAGAACCATTTTGGAACCCTTTTTTCTAAGAGTGTACTTAACTAACCTACCCGTCTGTTCTTCCTTCCGTCCACCTCTCTCGGATAGCAGGGATGCACAACAGTCTATCTTCACACCAAACACGACATCACCAACACAATCTCACACCTGAGAGGAGGTCTGTTCTATTCTCATCTCCATGGCAGCAGGATATAACATGTCCTCCTGTATATCCTGGTTAGCTGAACTAGACCACATAGAATGGCACTTTAAAGAGATTCCAACCATATCATCTCTTGTTATAAGGTTATATAGCCATAAGGACAATGTGCCCCTTGACTCCAGCTAGTTCTATATCTCCTCATGATTTGATTGACAGACAATGAGAAACTGCAGATCCAGGACCTCTGGGCGGTTTCAAGTGTTTGAGGGGATAAGAGGATCCATTCCATTCCAGTCAGACAGCGATAAATCTGAGACTCTCAGTCATAGTGTTCATTTCACATTCTGCTCCCTGCAATAGCAGGGAAGGTCAAGCACTTAGCACACACCATTGTTCCTGAAGGACACACTTGCCTTACATCACTGCTCTGTAAAGTTTAATTAAACATGGTGATTTACGGTGAAAAAGACGGCGAAAAACGGCAATGATATGTTAGACACAGAAAATCAATGCTGTTCTAAAAAACATATTAACCTCGAATTGAATTTCATTTTAATTATTTCTAATTGTATGAACTGGGTTATTGGACCAATTAAACTGTATAAAGAGCAGTTTACATGTACAATATTACATTTTAGTCATTTAACAGACGCTCTTATCCAACGCAACTTACAGTTAGTGAGTGCATAATTGTTTTTGTTTTCATACTGCCCCCCCGTGGGAATCAAACCCACAACCCTGCCGTTGCAAGCGCCATGCTCTACCAACTGAGCTACACGGGACAATATCTAGTCTGCTGCCCTTAATTGGTTCATGTGCATTTCTGGTTCAATTGCTTTGTATTTAAAATGCATTATAGTTTACACGCCCCCCCAAAAAAATAATACATACGGGAATACATGTGAGTGTATGCACATGTGTTAGTAGCGCATAATATGCTCATCTGGATTCATAGCTGCTCGTGGCATCTCAGAATAATATAATTATTCAACCATGTTTGGAAACAAAGGGAGTCAATTTGCTTCTGTAATTATTGGTGCTATAAAGCCTTTAGCACTCACTTGCCCAAGCCAATGCCCCAGATCTCAGCTGACATTTGGCAGTCTTTAGTGTCTAACTGGCTGTGTGCTGATGTGCGTGTGGGGGAGGGGTCTGTATGGCAAAGCAGTGATGATAGTTCATCTGGGCCATATAGCAATGATGTCTGTCATGTGTTTTTGTTTTGTTTCCCTGGTTATAAAATACATAGTTGAGCTGAACTAATGAATATAGAGCAGTGATGGTGTGGCCCAGGGCTCACTTGTGTTTGTGTCCTCCTGTTACTCTCTAATAGCGATGTTTTGGGATAATTCATTTCTTGGATCGATATCTGAGAAACAGATTTGGTCCTGTTGTCTTGTTGATGCTGGAAATACGGAGACAAATTAAATATTAATGTCCCTCCTGGAAACTGGGCCCTTCAAATACTATAGTATACTGTAGACTCTTAGAAAAAAAGGTGCTATCTAGATAAAAGGGTTCTTCGGCTGTCCCCATAGGATAACCATTTGAAGAACCCTTTTTGGTTCCAGGTAGAACTCTTTTAGGTTCCATGTAGAACACTTTCCACAGAGGATCCTACATGGAACTACAAATAGTTCTACCTGGAACACAAAAAGGTTATCCTATGGGGACAGGCAAAGAATCCATTTTGTGGATTTGGCTATTTCAGCCACACCCGTTGCTGACAGGTGTATAAAATCGAGCACACAGCAATGCAATCTCCATAGACAAACATTGGCAGTAGAATGGCCTTACTGAAGAGCTCAGTGACTTTCAACGTGGCACCGTCATTGGATGCCACCTTTCCAACAAGTCAGTCCGTCAATTTTCTGCCCTGCTAGAGCTGCCCAGGTCAACTGTAAGTGCTGTTATTGTGAAGAGGAAACGTTTACGAGCAACATCGGCTTAGCCGCGAAAGGGTAGGCCACACAAGGTCACAGAACGGGACCACCGAGTGCTAAGGCGCGTAGCGCGTAAAAATAATCTGTCATTGTTTGCAACACTCACTACTGAGTTCCAAACTGCCTCTGGAAGCAACGTCAGCATAATAACTGTTCATCGGGAGCTTCATGAAATGGCCTAAGATCACCACGTGCAATGTCAAGCGTCAGCTGGAGTGGTATAAAGCTCACCGCCATTGGACTCTGGAGCATTGGAAACACGTTCTCTGGAGTGATGAATCACGCTTCACCATCTGGCAGTCCGATGTACGAATCTGGGTTTGGCGGATGCCAGGAGAATGCTACCTGCCCGAATGCATAGTGCCAACTGTAAAGTTTGATGGAGGAGGAATAATGGTTTGGGGCTGTTTTTCATGGTTTGGGCTAGGCCCCATAGTTCCAGATGAAGGGAAATCTTAACACTACGGCATACAATGACATTCTAGACGATTCTGTGCTTCCAATTTTGTGGCAACAATTTTGTGGCAACATGCCCCTGTGCACAAAGCGAGGCCCATACAGAAATTGTTTTTCGAGATCGGTGTGGAAGAACTTGACTGATCTGCACAGACCCCTGACCTCAACCCCAACGAACACCTTTGGGATGAATTGGAACGCCGACTGTGAGTCAGGCTTAATCGCCCAACCTCACTAAAGGTCTTGTGGCTGTATGGAAGCAAGTCCCCGCAGCAATGTTCCAACATCTAGTGGAAAGACTTCCCAGAAGAGTGGAGGCTGTTGTAGCAGCAAAGGGGGGACCAACTCAATATTAATGCTCATGATTTTGGAATGAGATGTTCGATGAGCAGGTGTCCATATACTTTTGGTAATGTAGTGTATATACACACTACCAGTCAAAAGTTTGGACACACCTACTCATTCAAGTGTTTTTCTTTATTTTTACTATTTTTTACATTGTAAAATAATAGTGAAGACATCAAAACTATGAAATAACACATGTGGAATCATGTAGTAACCAAAAAAGTGTTAAACAAATCAAAACATATTTTACATTTGAGATTCTTCGAATAGCCACCCTTTGCCTTGATGACAGCTTTGCACACTCTTGGCATTCTCTCAACCAGCTTCACCTGGAATGCTTTTCCAACAGTCTTGAAGGAGTTCCCACATATGCTGAGCACTTGTTGGCTGCTTTTCCTTCACTCTGCAGTCAGACTCATCCCAAACCATCTCAATTGGGTTGGGTGTGCAAAGCTGTCATCAAGGCAAAGGGTGGCTACTTTGAAGAATCTCAAATATAAAATATATTTTGATTTGTTTAACACATTTTTGGTTACTACATGATTCCATTTGTGTTATTTCATAGTTTTGATGTCTTCACTATTATTCTACAACGTAGAAAATAGCCAAAATAAAGAAAAACACTGGAATGAGTAGGTGTGTCCAAACTTTTGACTGGTACTGGTAGCCACATACACCGGATAGGTGCAGTGAAATGTGTTGTTTTACAGATCAGCCATAGTAGTACGCCGCCCCTGGAGCAAATTAGGGTTAAGTGCCTTGCTCAAGGGCAAATTGACAGATTTTTCACCTTATCAGCACAGGAATTCAAACCAGCGATCTTCAGTTACTGGCCCAACGCTCTAACCGCTGGGCTACCTGCCGCCCAAAAGAAAACTCTTGATTGTCACAAGTTCTTACAAAGATTGTAGAACTGACAATGAGTGGTGAGGAACTGTTTCATCTCTTAGGGAGGGGTGGCGGAGAATGAACAGAGAAAGATAAAGAAAGAGAGAGGGAAAAATGGAACAGAAAAGTGTAGCTTTCCCCATCACTGTCATGTAGATCACTGAGTCAACCCAGAAACGTAATCAATCCCTGATCAATACATCAGCAGGTGCAGGGTTTCATTCACATGAGGTTTGTGGTTGAGAATGAGATCCACCCTCTGTGCAAGGTACTCCCCATCTCAAAGGGATAACAACCTAATTCTTTTAGGTAGCACCAAATCACATGCAGATGAAAGGGTTTTTTGAAGCTGTGGTTCCGGCTTGTTCCCATGAGCCCCACCCCCTCTCATCAGCTTCTGATTATCTTCCAGACAAAACAAGGCCTTGGATCTAATGCTATCCCTACGCTATCTCTGTCTTTCTGTCTTGTTTGGGCTTTTTTTCTCTCAATCTGCCTGCCTTTATCATCTCTATCATCTTTCTCCCCCATCCCTCTCTTCCTCTCTGTGACTGATTGGGCACATCATTGACAGGTACCGTCTCTAGGCTCCCCTGACCTATTTCAACAACAGGAAATACATGTTTTGATGTAATTTCATCAATTCCATAACACAGTGTCTTCTTTTGCTCCTTCTTAGCCGCCGTTTCCCTTCCGTTTCTGACTGTCTGCTATTGCTCTAACAATTCCCTCAGTTTCATTATCTCCTCTGCCCTCTAGCTCTCAGACATCTACTTTCCTTTTTCTCACCCAGTCAGTCTCAGCTTTTAATCCTTTTTCTCTGCATCTTCCTAACTTTCTTTCTTTTTTTCATTCATTCATTCTCTCTCTCTCTCTCTCTCTCTCTCTCTCTCTCCTCTCACTCACTCACTCACTCACTCACTCACTCACTCACTCACTCACTCACTCACTCACTCACTCACTCACTCACTCACTCACTCACTCACTCACTCACTCACTCACTCACTCACTCACTCACTCTGTACCTCTCCTAATCTGTCTTTCTCCTCTCCTCTGGTGGGGTTTCCTCCCGGCTCTTATGGCTCTAGTGTTCTCTCCTTTATCAAACAGGAAGTGGCTCAAAGTGGCATCCTGTCCCACATTCACAGGGCATGATAATACCCAAGAAAACAGGTTGACAACTATTTATGAAATATTCAGCGGACACTGCCAAGAGCTCACTCTAACACAGCTTCAATATTTAAGAGCCATGCGTTACTATTTTTAATAGTAATGCACATCACAGAGTTGCACAACTCTACAAATATTGTCTGTTTATACAACTCTGTTGTGGCTGACCCAAATAGATACAAGTTTGAATGTTTTATAGATTTCAATAGCAGAAATTTCAACAAAAACAACATGACATGACCTTATGGGAAAAATGTGTATTGACCAGGGTAACATTCTCTGTGCTGCTGTGTGAAATCAGACAGATGTAGCATTCAACAAGAGGTAATTACTTTGCCCATTATCAACTCCATCTCTGATCCCATAAACAGTATTTGTCAAATACTGGGACCACACATGAATGCCAGCTATGCTGCACGCACAGACCAGCTACAGGCTCAATCAAGCCCGTTCAACAGACCATGGCAGAGAGAACAAAAGAGTGAGGAGATAGAGAGACCAATAAAACAGAAATTAGGAGAGAGTACACTAATGAAAAGTACAAAGACAGAAAACAGAGACATTGCGAAAAGCAAAAATAAGGGAGGAGAAAAAACGTAGTGGTTCGTTGCTGATTCAACATGCATGGTATTTTCTGTCTAAGAGGAGTGCAGAAAGTAAAAAGGGTGGTGTGGGAGGAGGGCTGTGGTTGATAAGGAGAAACAGAGACAGAAAAGTTACAGAAACCAGACCTCCATCATGAGGTGGAGATAGTTGGAGTGTGGGAGTTGGAGACAGAAGGCTAGTCAATTCAAGGAATCAACAAAACAAAGTCAGCCCACATCTAACGCAATCAGGATTAATCTTTCCTTGGATTCATCTTTCCTTCCAGCTATTCTTACATCAGAGTGACGCTGGCCAACAGGTGAGTCAGGTGACCCACGTCAGGATGAGTCTAAGGAGAGTGTGTGTGTGGTGGGGGCGGGGGGGAGGGGGGTATGGTTAATGGTGACTGAGCAGGATATAGATAAAATCTGAGTACTGTAGCACAAGCCTTGCATTCTCTCCCCCTAACACACACACACACCCTACCCGGTGAAATTCCACACCTTCCCTCTGTTTCTGCCTCAGGTTACGCGGCAGCATATGAATAGTCTTTCCAGTAAAAGCTGACGACAAAAACAAATTAACAATGTGCACATTAAATTGCCATCACTTTGCCAATAAACATGTAGCAGAGAACATTTCATAATTTGTCATGCGAAAATAGTCTGACAACATAGTACAGCTTAAAGTCTGACTAATCTACAAGAGGGGAGAGGTTACTGGGACTGCACCAGCAGCAGACACACGCATATACACACACACACGGCTGGTATAACTGGACTGTTATTTCAGCCTCTTTCTGTCTCTCTGTCAACACCTGACCACATGACCCCTGACCCCACAGCCAGCTTCCTGCTTCATGGATCAGAGCCCAAATGGAGTCCATCTGACCTACAGTTTAAATTTCCCTGTGACAGTGTGAGATGGGGATGGTATTCATTGTATTCTGATGCAAGACCCTGAGACAGGAACAGTATGTAAGTCTCCTTACAGTATCTTCTGTCATATCAAGGACCAACATGAAGAAATATGCAACACCAACTGAAAGATTGCTACAGAGGATGAGATTGTGGATTTTTCTTGTGCTGCCGTTCCTGAAGATATTATGAAATACTGTTGGGCCTCTGCTATTTCAAACTGCGCCAGAGGCTGAATTAGTAATGAAAACGGTTACATGAATTAGAGATAAACATCCGTTCCCCCTCATTGATTTATACATCACGAGCAATCAGAGAAAGAGCATAGGGGGAGTCATTGAATTACTAATACGGATCAAAAAGGGAAAACAACAATGATTCAGCAATCATTGATTAAAATGAGCCTTTGTAGAAATAAAAAAAATCCCTGTTTGTGAGTCACTGGAGTTTTGTAGACTATGTACAACCCCATAGTCACATGATCTGAGCACTAACCAAACCATGAGTGCTCCTGATGGAAATTTACGCATTTCACCAGAGCTGACTAAGTACTATGGTTTTTCTGGAGGCGTTCATGCTCCAGTCTTGGTTGCTGTTGTTGTTGTGTGCTGTGCTATGTGGTGAGGATTACATAGGGTTGCAGGTAAGAGGATTGGTACAGCGGGGTTAGCACCCTTTATTAGCCAGCAGGACAAACAGGCGGCTGCACAGTCAACCAATACCATAATCTCCCCTTCTCTTCTCCTCTCCCAGAGCCACCAGTAATCTCAACTGTTCTTCCACATGAGAACCCCAACTAACCCAGCTAGCAAATCAAGGGAGAGACACAAGTTTTGTAATGTTACCCATAATGTTCCCATAATGTTTGAGTGTCCAGTTTTCCGTTAGTAAGGGGCACTTTCTATCTATGTTAACAAAAACATTCGGAGAACCTTTTTAGTGTGTTTTGGCGTTAGTCAGGAGAACATTGCCTCAATGTCAAACATAACATACCCAGAACTAGCATTTCTGTCTGTAATAAAGCCTTTTTGTGGGGAAAAAATAATTCTGATTTGCTGGGCCTGGCTCCCCAGTGGGTGCCATCCCAGGCCCACCCATGGCTGCGCCCTTGCCCAGTCATGTGAAATCCATTGATTAGGGCATAATGAATTCATGTAAATGACTGATTTTCTTATATGAACTGTAAAATCTTTGAAATTGTTGCATGTTGCGTTTATATTTTTGTTCAGTATCTATATTTTTTGTTATTTCTTAATACAAGAACCTTTCTTGTATTATTACCTACAGCCGGAAATAACTTTTGGATATTAGATTGGTAGTCACTCACCAGAAATGTTAGAATAAATTTGATTTCCCTCGCCTGGATCCTTTGTTTGAACTTCCCGAGGCAGCTCTATTCATCCCGGGGGCTGCACCAAAACTCAGATGCAGGAGAAGAGGTAGAAGGAGTTGGGCCCATAGTCAGACTCAGGCGAGGTGCCTGAGTATATTACTCACTAACATTCAGTCCCTGGACAATGAAGTAGACGAGCTCTGGGCGAGGATCTCCTTCCAGAGAGACATCAGGGACTTTAACATACTCTGTTTTATGGAATCATTGCTCTCTCCGGATATATTGTCCCCGTCCATTCAGCCAGCTGGGTTCTCCATCTATCGCGCGGACAGGAAGAAAGAACTCTCCTCGAAAAAGAAAGGCGGAGGGGTTTGTTTCATGACTAACAACTCATGGTGTGATTGTGGTTACGTACAGGAACTCAAGTCCATTTGTTCTCCCGATCTGGAATACCTCACCATCAAATGCAGACCGCATTACCTCCCAAGATAATAACTGCTGTGTATACAGTGACGGAAAAAAGTATTTGATCCCCTGCTGATTTTGTACGTTTGCCCACTGACAAAGAAATGATCAGTCTATAATTTTAATGGTAGGTTTATTTGAACAGTGAGAGACAGAATAACAACAAAAAAATCCAGAAAAATGCATGTCAAAAATGTTATAAATTGATTTGCATTTTAATGAGGGAAATAAGTATTTGACCCCCTCTCAATCAGAAAGATTTCTGGCTCCCAGGTGTCTTTTATACAGGTAACGAGCTGAGATTAGGAGCACACTCTTAAAGGGAGTGCTCCTAATCTCAGCTTGTTACCTGTATAAAAGACACCTGTCCACAGAAGCAATCAATCAATCAGATTCCAAACTCTCCACCATGGCCAAGACCAAAGAGCTCTCCAAGGATGTCAGGGACAAGATTGTAGACCTACACAAGGCTTGAATGGGCTACAAGACCATCGCCAAGCAGCTTGGTGAGAAGGTGACAACAGTTGGTGCAATTATTCGCAAATGGAAGAAACACAAAAGAACTGTCAATCTCCCTCGGCCTGGGGCTCCATGCAAGATCTCACCTCGTGGAGTTGCAATGATCATGAGAACGGTGAGGATCTTGTCAATGATCTCAAGGCAGCTGGGACCATAGTCACCAAGAAAACAATTGGTAACACATTACGCCGTGAAGGACTGAAATCCTGCAGAACCCGCAAGGTCCCCCTGCTCAAGAAAGCACATATAGAGGCCTGTCTGAAGTTTGCCAATGAACATCTGAATGATTCAGAGGAGAACTGGGTGAAAGTGTTGTGGTCAGATGAGACCAAAATGGAGCTCTTTGGCATCAACTCAACTCGCCAAGTTTGGAGGAGGAGGAATGCTGCCTATGACCCCAAGAACACCATTCCCACCGTCAAACATGGAGGTGGAAACGTTATGCTTTGGGGGTGTTTTTCTGCTAAGGGGACAGGACAACTTCACCGCATCAAAGGGACGATGGACGGGGCCATGTACCGTCAAATCTTGGGTGAGAACCTCCTTCCCTCAGCCAGGGCATTGAAAATGGGTCGTGGATGGGTATTCCAGCATGACAATGACCCAAAACACATGGCCAAGGCAACAAAGGAGTGGCTCAAGAAGAAGCACATTAAGGTCCTGGAGTGGCCTAGCCAGTCTCCAGACCTTAATCCCATAGAAAATCTGTGGAGGGAGCTGAAGGTTCGAGTTGCCAAACGTCAGCCTCGAAACCTTAATGACTTGGAGAAGATCTGCAAAGAGGAGTGGGACAAAATCCCTCCTGAGATGTGTGCAAACCTGGTGGCCAACTACAAGAAACGTCTGACCTCTGTGATTGCCAACAAGGGTTTTGCCACCAAGTACTAAGTCATGTTTTGCAGAGGGTCAAATACTCCCTCATTAAAATGCAAATCCAATTATAACATTTTTGACATGCGTTTTTCTGGATTTTTTTGTTGTTATTCTGTCTCTCACTGTTCAAATAAACCTACCATTAAAAGTATAGACTGATCATTTCTTTGTCAGTGGGCAAACGTACAAAATCAGCAGGGTAACAAATACTTTTTTCCCTCACTGTATTCTCCGCCAAGCCGACATCGCGACGGCTCTCAAGGAACTACACTGGACTATGTGCAAACTGGAAACCGCATATCCTGAGGCCGCATTTATTGTAGCTGGGGACTTTAATAAAGGAAATCTGAGGAAAACGCTACAAAAATTCTATCAACACATCTCCTGTGCCACATGCGCAACACGGACCCTGGATTATTGCTACTCTCCCTTCCGTGATGGCTACAAGGCCCTCCCCTGCCCTCCGTTCGGCAAATCAGATCACGCCTCTATTCTGCTCCTCCCCACCTATAGGCAGAAACCTAAACAGGAAGCTCCCGTGGTGAGGACTGTTCAACGTTGGTCTGAGCAATCGGAATCTATGCCTCAAGATTGTTTTGATCATGCGAACTGGGAAATGTTCCAGGTAGCCTCTGAGAATAGTATTGACGTATACACTGACTCGGTGACTGGGTTCATCAGGATGTGCATAGAGGATGTTGTTCCCACTCTGACGATTAGAACTTATCCAAACCAAAAACCATGGACATATGGCAGCATTTGCGCAAAACTGAAAGCGCGAACCACCATATTTAACCATGGCAAGGTGACTGGGAACATGGACATGTCAAGTTTGGTGGAGGAGGAATAATGGTCTGGGGCTGTTTTTCATGATTAGAGCTAGTTCCAGTGAAGGGAAATCTTAACGCTACAACATACAATGACATTCTAGACGATTCTGTGGTTCCAACTTTGTGGCAACAGTTTGGGGAAGGCCCTTTCCTATATAAGGACTCGAAACGGCTGTTATTTTGTCCAAAAAACAGGTCATATCCCTTCCCTGTTTCAGCATGACAATGCCCCCGTGCACAAAGCGAGGTCAATACAAAAATGATTTGTCGAGATTGATGTGGAAGAACTTGACTGGCCTGCATAGAGCCCTGATCTCAACCCCATCGAACACCTTTGGGATGAATTGGAACGCTGACTGCGAGCCAGGCCTAATCGCCCAACATCAGTGCCCGACCTCACTAATGCTCGTGGCTGAATGGAAGCAAGCTCCCGCAGCAATGTTCCAACATCTAGTGGAAAGCCTTCCCAGAAGAGTGGAGGCTGTTATAGCAGCAAAGGGGGAACCAACTCCATATTAATGCCCATGATTTTGGAATGAGATGTTTGACGAGCAGTTGTCTACATACTTTTGGTCATGTAGTGTATCTACCTCAATTAGCTTGCACCCATGCACATTAACTCAGCACAGGTACCCTGTGTATTTAGCCAAGTTATCGTTACTCATTGTATAATTATTCCTTGTGTTATTATTTTTCTATTATTTATATTAATATTTTCTATTATTCCTCGTGTTTATTTCTCTCTGAATTGTTGGGAAGGGCACGTAAGTAAGCATTTTACTGTTAGTCTACATCAGTTGTTTACAAAGCATGTGACAAATAAGATTTGATCTATTTGGTCATGTAGTGTATCTGTGTCAAAATCACAAAATTCACTTGCTAACAATCTGTTGTCATATTCGCGTGGCTGTTGTCATCACCCAAAATGAGTATGCTGTCATTTGACCCAAAACAAAGAAACACTTCATTACTCAAAATTATGATGCAGAAGCGGCCACGACTTTTCACTGTGGAAGAGGCTGTATCTAGGTATGTTGTTTGGTGATACGGATTCGGACACGTCCTTGCACTTTGAAAGCGATGTTGTGAGTGAAATAATAAATAGCAGATATACAGTTGAAGTCGAAAGTTTACATACACCTTAGCCAAATATATTTAAACTCAGTTTTCACAATTCCTGACATTTAATCCTAGTAAAAATTCCCTGTCTTAAGTCAGTTAGGATCACCACTTTATTTTAAGAATGTGAAATGTCAGAATAATAGTAGAGAGAATTATTTATTTAAGCTTTTATTTCTTTCATCACATTCCCAGTGGTTGAGAAGTTTACATACACTCAATTAGTATTTGGTAGCATTGCCTTTAAATTGTTTAACTTGGGTCAAACGTTACGGGTAGCCTTCCACAAGCTTCCCATAATAGGTTGGGTGAATTTTGGCCCATTCCTCCTGACAGGGCTGGTGTAACTGAGTCAGGTTTGTAGGCCTCCTTGCTCGCACAAGCTTTTTCAGTTCGGCCCACAAATGTTCTATAGGGTTGAGGTCAGGGCTTTGTGATGGCTACTCCAATACCTTGACTTTGTTGTCCTTAAGCCATTTTGCCACAACTTTGGAAGTATGCTTGGGGTCATTGTCCATTTGGAAGACCCATTTGCGACTAAGCTTTAACTTCCTGACTGATGTCTTGAGATGTTGCTTCAATATATCCACATAATTTTCCTTCCTCATGATGCCATCTATTTTGTGAAGTGCACTAGTCCCTCCTGCAGCAAAGCACCCCCACAGCATGATGCTGCCACCCCCGTGCTTCACGGTTGGGATGGTGTTCTTCGGCTTGCAAGACCCCCTTTTTCCTCCAAACATAACGATGGTTATTATGGCCAAACAGTTATATTTTTGTTTCATCAGACCAGAGGACATTTCTCCAAAAAGTACGATCTTTGTCCCCATGTGCAGTTGCAAACTGTAGTCTGGCTTTTTTATGGTGGTTTTGGAGCAGTGGCTTCTTCCTTGCTGAGCGGCCTTTCAGGTTATGTCGATATAGGACTTGTTTTACTGTGGATATAGATACTTTTGTACCTGCTTCCTCCAGCATCTTCACAAGGTCCTTTGCTGTTGTTCTGGGATTGATTTGCACTTTTCGCACCAAAGTACGTTCATCTCTAGGAGACAGAACCCGTCTCCTTCCTGAGCGGTATGACAGCTGTGGGGTCCCATGGTGTTTATACTTGCGTACTATTGTTTGTACAAATGAACATGTTACCTTCAGGCGTTTGGAAATTGCTCCCAAGGATGAACCAGACTTTTTTCTGAGGTCTTGGCTGATTTCTTTTGATTTTCCCATGATGTCAAGCAAAGAGGCACTGAGTTTGAAGGTAGGCCTTGAAATACATCCACATGTACACCTCCAATTGACTCAAATTATGTCAATTAGCCTATCAGAAGCTTCTAAAGCCATGACATCATTTTCTAGAATTTTCCAAGCTGTTTAAAGGCACAGTCAACTTATTGTATGTAAACTTCTGACCCACTGGAATTGTCATACAGTGAATTATAAGTGAAATAATCTGTCTGTAAACAATTGTTGGAAAAGTTACTTGTGTCATGCACAAAGTAGATGTCCTAACCGACTTGCCAAAACTATAGTTTGTTAACAAGAAATTTGTGGAGTGGTTGAAAAACAAGTTTTAATGACACCAACCTAAGTATTTGTAAACTTCCGATTTCAACTGTATGTTTGGTGTTGTCAATGTTTGTTATTGTGAAACTTAGGGAATAGCGCTCAGATTAGCAAGTCCTCCCTTACAAAAAAAGATTGCAGTTTTGAAACTGCAGTTAAAGTGCAGTAACTGCAGTCGATTGTCGTATTTTGGACGCAGTGATTGCAAAATAACTGCAGTGTACTGCAGTTGAACTGCAGTTATACTGCACTGTAACTGCAGTTACACTGCAAAATTACTGCAGGAAAAAAACTGTGATATTTTGAACGCAGTATTTGCAGCATACTGAAGTTATACTGCATTCTAACTACAGTTATACTACAGTGTACTGCAGTTATACTGCACTCTGATTGCAATCTTTTTTCATAAGCGTTGTCATGATCACTTGCGACGCTGTCACTTGATCATCTCACTCTCTTCCTACAAAGACAACCAGCTAACTATGCCCATCGAAATAGATGAGGTTGGCTAACTTGCACATAGTCTCATCTTTGTCAACTTCTACTTTCAAAATCCTATATAAATCAACAATAGTTGATGTGTTGAATCTGTAAACCATTGTGCCACATACTTTGACTTCTTACCATCTATGAAAAGTAATCTAACCATGGGTCTTGAAGTATGTGCACCCTATATAGCCTTTATGGTTATAATCTGACCCATCTATGAGCATATTTACGAACGTATTTTTGTGTACTCGATCCTGTCTGATTATCCATCAGTCTGACATACATATGCACACCATGAATTGAGAAACAATCTGGCCACTAAGGGCTTCATAAAATAATTTTGATTGATTGTATAGCAACATGATGATACTATTTACTGTGTGTGTGAGAATACCCCTAAGAGGTGATTATTAGGAAGAGAGTACAGTGGCTTGCGAAAGTATTCACCCCCCTTGGCATTTTTCCTATTTTGTTGCCTTACAACCTGGACTTAAAATAGATTTTTGGGGGGTTTAATTTACACAACATGCCTACCATTTTGAAGATGCAAAATAAAAAGAATTGTGAAACAAACAAGAAATAAGACAAAGACACTGAAAACTTGAGCGTGCATGACTATTATCCCCCCCCCCCCCCCCCCCCCCTTTAGCAGTATGCTTAGGGTCATTGTCCTGCTGGAAGGTGAACCTCCGTCCCAGTCTCAAATCTCTGGAAGACTGAAACAGGTTTCTCTCAAGAATTTCTCTGTGTTTAGCACCATCCATCATTCCTTCAATTCTGACCAGTTTCCCAGTCCCTGCTGATGAAAAACATCCCCACAGCATGATGCTGCCACCACCATGCTTCACTGTGGGGATGGCGTTCTCGGGGTGATGAGAGGTGTTGGGTTTGCGCCAGACATAGCGTTTTCTTTGATGGCCAAAAAGCTAAATTTTAGTGTAATCTGACCAGAGTACCTTCTTCCATATGTTTGGGGAGTCTCCCACATGCCTTTTGGCATTTTTTTCTTTAAGCAATGGCTTTTTTCTGGCCACTCTTCCGTAAAGCCCAGCTCTGTGGAGTGTACGGCTTAAAGTGGTCCTATGGACAGATACTCCAATCTCCGCTGTGGAGCTTTGCAGCTCCTTCAGGGTTATTTTTGGTCTCTTTGTTGCCTCTCTGATTAATGCCCTCCTTGCCTGGTCTGTGAGTTTTGGTGGGCGGCCCTCTCTTGGCAGGTTTATTTTGGTGCCATATTCTTTCAATTTTTTTATACTGGATTTAATGGTGCTCCGTGGGATGTTCAAAGTTTCTGATATTTTTTTATAATCCAACCCTGATCTGTACTTCTCCACAACTTTGTCCCTGTCCTGTTTGGAGAGCTCCTTGGTCTTCATGGTGCCGCTTGCTTGGTGGTGCCCCTTGCTTAGTGGTGTTGCAGACTCTGGGGCCTTTCAGAACAGGTGTATATATACTGACATCATGTGACTGATCATGTGACACTTAGATTGCACACAGGTGGACTTTATTTAACTAATTATGTGACTTCTGACGGTAATTGGTTGCACCAGATCTTATTTAGGGGCTTCATAGCAAAGGGGGTGAATACATATGCACGCACCACTTTTCCGTTATTTTTTAAATTTCACTTCACCAATTTGGACTATTTTGTGTATGTCCATTACATGAAATCCAAATAAAAATCTATTTAAATTACAGGTTGTAATGCAACAAAATAGGAAAAACACCAAGGGGGATGAATACTTTTGCAAGGCACTGTATGTGTATGGTTGAAAAAGAAGGAAAGGAGAAAAGAGATAGACAGTGAGAGAGAGGGATTACGTTACTGACCACAACTGTATCGTATTTGTTGCTCTGCTTCTCTGTCTCTCTTTCTCCCTCTGTTACTCTGTTCCTCTAGGTCAGCGAAAGTGAGGGAAGTGATGTGGAGAGTCAGGGCTCAGCAGCAGAAGGCAGGGAGGAAGAGGAGTTAGAGATGACTGGGGGGATAGAGATGTGGAACAAGGAGGGAGGAGTGGAGCGAGTGAGAGGAGAGGTGAGCGAGAAGAGAGTGAAGGGAGAGGAGAGTGGAGGGAGAGAGGAAAAGGAGAGTGAAGAGGAGAGGAGAGTGGAGGGAGAGAAACATGGCGAGGAGGAGGAAGAGGGAGAGGAGGAAGCAGAGGGAGAGGAGGAGGTAGGGGGAGAGCAAACCCGACAAAGGATTGACAGTGGCAGGGGTTTTGGAGTTGTTTTTAAAAGTGGTAGAGGTCTGTATTTGTTTTCCAGAGCTGGTGTTTAACACCAACCTGTCCACCACCACATCAAATTCACTGAATTGTTGTCAAAGTAGGCTACTATTTTAAAATGTTGTGTCAGGCCTAGTCTGTGCTAAATCTTATTGATAGAAGTTATCTACATTTTGAAATAGTCTCTGAATAGTTGTTTGCATTTTTACATTGTTGCAGAAGTAAGAATCGTCAATGAAATAGCCTACTTTGTGTGGGTATTGAAATACTTTCTGAATATTGTCCTCTGATCACATTTTGAAGTATATATTTTTATTTGTATGTAAATAATATTTAGAAGTATATTATATTATTCTTGGTACATTTTGAGTGAGTAATTTAGTGATATTTACTCAAATTTAAATACTCTAGGGTTTTTTGTTGTGTTGAATGTTAATCGTTTTTTGATGGTGAGTGTCTTTACACAATGTAAGACAAAATGAGTGTTATTCCTATTGACATGAATGTGGTGTCATATTAAAGAAGAGGTTGTACTCTTTAAAATTAAATTAACTTGTGATTTACATTTGTTCTTTGTTGTTGAGCTATGTCTGTTTGTTTGAAACTTGTGAGAAAATGAGAAATTCCCAGTAATCTACAGCAGCATTCTATTGTGGTCTAAATGATTGAAACAGTTACAGTTTAAAGGCTGTGATAGGAGAAAACTGAGGATGGATCAACAACATTGTAGTTACTCCACAATATTAAGTGTGAAGGAAGCCTGTACAGAATACAAATATTCCAAATCATGCATCCTGTTTGCAATACGGCACTAAAGTATGACTAAGAAATTAACTTTATGTCCTGAATACAAAGTGTTACGTTTGAGGCAAATCCAACACAACACATCACTGAGTATCACTATTCATATTTTCAAGCATGTTGGTGGCTGCATCATGTTATGGGTATGCTTGTCATCGGCAAGGACTAGGGAGTTTTTTTTATGATAAAAATAAACAGAATAGAGCTAAGCACAGGCAAAATCATAGAGGAAAACCTGGTTCAGTTTTCAACTTTGATATTTGACACACTTTGATATATATGATTACATTGTGCATGTTCATTTATGCAGTAATTATTATTCAACAGTCCTCACCTGGGATTTGAACTCAACCTCTTGGTTCATGGTACACCGATCTTCCTTCTACGCCACGATGTCTGTTTCATGTATTGGTTAATCTGACTATTCTAATCATTGATTTGATTAACTTATTTCAGCAATTTATGGGCTTTCAGTATAGTTGTCTAATGTTGGTGGAGCATGTTAATGATACTCCTGAATCACTATGATCAATACAAGTTTATCTTGAGTGTACTTTTAACAGAGCTGAGATTTACTTTAAAGTGCATTCACTCTATTGCTTACAGCCTTATACCTATCAAATGTTTTCAGGACAGGGCCTAACTATACTGGCCCAATAAGCAGATGTCCTAGAGATATCCCTTACTGTGACAGTGGTAAGGGCCTTCCTCATTGGTGCTGGTGGCCTGGTTTCGAGACCCGCTAGGGGAATCACCCTACTCTCACATTCTTAGCAAAATATGTTAATGTCATTATTTGGCAACAGTTACAACACACCTACCTGATCTAATTAAAATGTGTTTCTCATTGAAATATGGGATTCTATAGAATTTCCCCTTGAGAATAAATGATAAATTATCAGAATGTATTAATTCTATATAGCTGAGCATCTCAAAGAGAACTATCGTCTTATTGAAATCTACACCACATATACCATGTAGCACAAACATGTAATTTATTTATTTTTAATTCTTTTTAATCAGATACACTACATGACCAAAGGTATGTGGACACCTGCTCATCGAACATCTAATTCCAAAATCATGGGCATTAATATGGAGGTGGTCCCCCCTTTGATGCTATATCAGCCTCCACTCTTCTGGGAAGGCTTTCCACTAGATGTTGGAACATTGCTGCGGGGACTTGCATTAGTGAGGCAGGCACTGATGTTGGGCGATTAGGCCTGGCTCGCAGTCAGCGTTCCAATTCATCCCAAAGGTGTTCGATGGGGTTGAGGTCAGGGCTCTGTGCAGGCCAGTCAAGTTCTTCCACACCGATCTCGACAAACCATTTCTGTATGGGGGCATTGTCATGCTGAAACAGGAAAGGGCCTTTCCCAAACTATTGCTACAAAGTTGGAAGCACAGAATCGTCTAGAATATCATTGGAACTAAGGGGCCTAGCCCAAACCATGAAAAACAGCCCCAGACCATTATTCCTCCTCCCCAAAACTTTACAGTTGGTACTATGCATTGGGGCAGGTGGCGTTCTACTGGCATCCGCCAAACCCAGATTAGTCCGTCGGACTGCCAGATGGTGAAGCGTGATTCATCACTCCAGAGAACACGTTTCCACTGCTCCAGAGTCCAATGACGGCAAGCTTTACACCACTCCAGCCGACGCTTGGCATTGCGCATGGTGATATTAGGCTTGTGTGCGGCTGCTCGGCCATGGAAACCCATTTCATGAAGCTCCCGACTAAAAGTTATTGTGCTGAAGTTGCTTTTTACGCATTACGCGCTTCAGCACTCTGCGGTCCTGTTCTGTGAGCTTGTGTGGCCTATCACTTCGCGACTGAGCCATTGTTGCTCCTAGACGTTTCCACTTCACAATAACAGCACTTACAGTTGACCTGATTTGTTGGAAAGGTGGCATCCTATGACGGGGCCACATTGAAAGTCACTGAGCTCTTCAGTAAGACCATTCTACTGCCGATGTTCGTCTATGGAGATTGCATGGCTGTGTGCTAGATTTTATACACCCGTCATCAACGGGTGTGGCTGAAATAGCCGAATTCACTAATTTGAAGGGGTGTCCACATACATTTTTTATATAATGAGTGTTATAATTGCTAATATAACAATGTGCACCTTTCACCTTTCATTGTAATTCCCAGCCAATACAGATACTGTGCCTATCGGCATTTTGTCTGGTGGTAATGGGGCTGCCCTGGCAAACATGTCAGAGTGATCATACCTTCCTGTGTGGTGTCCCGTATACATACAATTGAATAATAAAAAAGACCACACAAGTAAAAGTTGTCTATTAAAATATGAATGTCGAGTGCCAGGTCTCTCTCCATTCAGAGACATCAGTATCAAGCCCGTCTGTCAGTCTGGACTTCATCACATCATCTTCCAAGTTTCCATGTACTGGCTCCATATATGTTTCTGTGAACACATACAAACATAGTCACTGTTCTATTACCAATGGCAGTTAGGATAGGTAATATCTGACACACAGTTTGAACAGGTCAGATAAACCTACCCAATTATATCAAACGACTGAGACTGCCGTCTGGCCAAAGCATCTCCAGTCCATCTGTAGAAATAGGCAGAATTGAGGCAGAGCTCATCAGTGACACATGGAGTGAAAAGGGTGTTGCTATTACTGGACATTTGTGCTGTACTGTATTATTAGTAATCATCTCATTGTGGATGTGTTGAGTGGCAGTTCTATCTGCATCTGTGAACACATACACACAGTCACTGTTGTATTACCAATGGCAGTTAGGGACAGGTTATATCTGACACTCAAACATATACTCTGTTGAAGTTTGAACAGGTCAGACTAAACCTACCTAATTCTGTTCTCCCCATCAACGACCGTTGGTGAGCAGGCAAGAGGTGAGGCTGGAGGTGAGGCCCCATTGATGGTTATAGCAGCGTAGATCACCTCCTGGCCCCTCATCAAAGATACTGGTCGGTCACACACAAACACACACACACACAGAGCACTGACTACATTATCAACGGTGGTAATGGTCTGGTAGAACCAACCTGATCGCTGTGTTCTGTATTTATACAAATGATGAGCCTGTGAAAGCTGTTGTCGCTGACAGGTGAAGGTTGCTGGCCGGATACTTGCCAACAGGTGGCTGACTGTTCCATTCATATTAATGCTCACAGCGAGGGCATGTCTGCATGATGCTGATCAGGCCCCTCTTGCTGGTCTTCTCTATGCTCCATGTTCGGCTGCAAACTGGACATCTCTCAAACAACAGTAGTAGGCAATCTGATGAGGTGGTATTGACTGGAGGGGTCCTGTGACAGGGCGATATACAGTAATAGACAGCCAAGTGGTAAATTGCATTTTGGTCTAAAGAAAGGACAAAGCTTTTTGCTAATGCACTTCACAAACAAAATGACTCGACTAGTTGTATCTGCTTGGCTGGGGAATTAGCCTATTAGTTTATCAAACCGGGTATTTTGAATACACCTTTTCACATTTCACATAACACACATTACCTGTCGTTGTTGATGAAGCTGTCTGTGTCATCAGGGCAGTAACTCGGGTCACTATCAGAGGCGCCATGATGGCATGTCCTTTTCATATGAGTTGAGGGAGACTGCCAACAACGGAGGAGGTGTCACAACGATACTTGTGTCGCATGACACACTTTTATTTTGAGGTCTTGCCTGAGAAGCTGTGAAAATAGCAAGTGAACAGTAAATTAAATCATTTTTGGAGGTCGCTAAACCATTGTAATCACATTGCTGGAAATGTTATGATTCCCACCTTTGCTCCTTCTGGTAGGTCCCGGCATCCGTTCATGACCAGGGGATCAGTTTGGCACCCAACTGTGCACTTTGTCTAACAAAAAAACAGGGTCAACGATTGCCATCATCCCTCAATTATAAACATAGCTCGAGAAATAACGTAATCTTGTTTGGAAGCTTACTCTATGCTTTACAGATGTAGACTGACTGACTCCAGAATGGATTAGATTCAGGCCAGTGACGCCGTTACACTATGCAACCAACTGTGACATGTTTTGCTATGGCCCTGGGTTGGTTTGAGTTTGTTGCTGCTAGTTAGAACACTGTTGTAGTCAGACATGAGTTAGCTAGTACCACCATAGCTGCATCCAATATTTATTTGCGCCCTAGACATGGGTTGCACCACAGAGGCTAATGTGACTGTTTTGTCTAAATTACACTAACTTAGAGTGGCATGGAAATACGATGACATTGCTAAAGTAGGCAAATAATTAGTAGGAAACAACTTTGCCATATTAGGATGGCAATGTTGCCATTACTGTTACTAGCAAAGTTCATGAAAAATTGCTAATAATACTAATGTTAGCTAGCTAAAATACGGTGGTCCCCTCAATCTTAGTTAGCTGGCTAAAGTTATACTGCATCTAAAGTCAATCTGGCGACAGCACAATCATGACAAAAGGTGTTCCTACTAATTAGTTCCCTGGGGTATTCAACTCTTACCCTACAAGGTCTGGAGCATGCTGGTATTCTGTTCTACCTGATACTTAATTGCACCCTAAATCCCTGATTAAAGGGGAACAATGAAAAGAAAGCAGTGGAACTGGCTTCGAGGTTCCAGAGTTGAGTTTGAGGGCCTAGCAATTCTCGAACACAGGACACCAACACCAATGACAAAGGCCCTAACCACTGTCTCAATAAGGGATATCTCTATGACGTACTTATTGGGCCAGTATTGTTAGGCCATGTCCTGAAACAACTTGATAGGTGTAAGGCTTTAAGCAATAGGGTGAATGCACTTTGAAGTAAATCTCAGCACTGTTAAAAGTACACTCAAGAAAAACAGTTTTATTGATAATAGTAATTCAGGAGTATCAATAAAACAGGTTAACATGCCCCACCAACATTAGACAACTACCATAAAATTTCAATGAATAGCCCAGGCGTTTATTAGCTTACATCACTGTACACAACAGGTACTTATTAGAGACAGGCTTCTATTTGAGCCAGGAGTCTATTTCCTTAATGCACACAGCTTTTGTGCATTTGCATAGTAAAAAAATGATTTGGGACCATCAGGGAATGTCCTGACAATTGATACATGTTCCCGCAACATTCCCATGAAACGTGTCTAGAACATTAATATCTTAAATTCTGAGAACATGGCAACTGTGTTCTGTGTATGTTTAGTGTGACGTTTATGAAATATTCTCCTAACCCTCAGAAAACTGGACACATCAATGTTCTTGCAATGTTCCCATGAAACGTGTCTAGAGCATTAATATCTTATATTCTTTAAACATGGCAACTGTGTTCTGTGTATGTTTAGTGTGATGTTGATGGAATATTCTCCTAACCCTCAGAAAACTGGACACATTAATGTTCTTGCAACGTTCCCATGAAACGTGTCTAGAGCATTAATAGCTTTTATTCTGAGAACATGGTGACCGTGTTCTGTGCATGTCTGGTAGGACGTTGATGGAATATTCTCCTAATCCTCAGAAAACTGGACACATGAATGTTCTTGCAACGTTCCCATAAAACGTTTCAAGAACATTAATATCTTAGGTTCTGAGAACATGGCAACCATGTTCTATGTATGTTTGGGGGGACATTGATAGAATATTCTCCTAACCCACAAAAAAACTGGGCACATGAATGTTCTTGCAACGTTCCCATGAAACGTGTCTAAAACATTAATATCTTAAGTTCTGAGAACATGGCAACCATGTTCTGGGTAAGTTCTATTTCACAATAAGGGAATAGTCTCTTGGAACTTATCCTTGCACATCACGGGAACATTCCTATGAAAACATTAGTTAATGACCTAATGAGACTCTTAAGGGAACGTTCTCTAAAGTTGTGGGAACATTTGTTGTTAGCTGGGAAGACTCATTCACAAGATCCCAGTTCACCTGACCTGGTTCCATCACAACAGCCAACCATAAGCATGTAGAGGCAATGCATTCATAGCACCTCCCCGTCTCCAGTTTTCAAGCTCCACTCACAAGTTACAGTGCATTATGCCCTTCCCCCCCAACACATGCGAAGACACATTTTATCACATGCTCTAGCTCTCACCCCATATAATCTACCCCCCTTGCATAGTGGCCTTTACTTTGTTAAATATATTTTTTAATAATATTTATTAAAGGTTTTTTTCCACATTTTACAAACATAATAAATTCATTCATATAAATACAAATCTGTTTTCACATCAATACATGGGTTAATTATTAGGCTACTTAACATGATTGACATATTTAATAGTGTCCATGGAAGTTAGTAATAGCTTTCTTCTTCTTTTTAATTCTGTTTAGTTTAAAAATAATTTTTGAAGGGACTGGCCTTCATCATGCCCATATGAACCCTAGTCTAGTTCTCTCCTCCCCTCCCCTGATCCCCACAGCTTCACCACTGGGTGGGTCCTTACCTTACATATTTCATGACTCATATATGAAAGTCTTAATGAAGAATCCTAGTCGAATTATGGGCTCTGGGTTACAATGTCTCACATTGGTCTCACAAATGCACAAGCGCTGGTTAAGGCGCGCGTGCACGCTCTCTCTCTCTCTCTCTTTCTCTCGCTCTCCTTATCAATCAGTAACATTAGCTTGACCATTGGATTTAGAAGGCCCGGGGGATCTTCCCTCTAAATGGTTCTAATGCCTGACACTTAGGCATGCTGTTATGTTCACATGCTAGAGAAAACCCCTAACCATCAGACAGGCTGGGGGATGCTTAATGGTGTGACACCTTCATTAAAAGGGACATTAACAAAGCCATGTTATTATCCACCACATCCAGAAGTCTAGGGTGCATTTTGATTCCTTTTCCTCACCATTCAAGGTGGTCCTCTGTAGCTCAGCTGGTAGAGCACGGCGCTTGTAACGCCAGGGTAGTGGGTTCGATCCCCGGGACCACCCATACACAAAAAAATGTATGCACGCATGACTGTAAGTCGCTTTGGATAAAAGTGTCTGCTAAATGGCATATTATTATTATTGCATACCTGATAGTCAGCCATGATAACAGTATGCAATAAACAGATGACAGTAAACTAATTCAAATGTAAACCAATTAAATGTTGTCCTTCTCTTCCCATTTCCTTGGTGGCTCTTTACTTTGAACGCTGTGATCCTAGAGTATATATGTTCAAGGTAAAGAAACAAGGCCAAGGAAAAGAGAGCACTTAAAGGCGCTGCATCGTCAATCTGGGGTCTGCATTGGCCGTGCAGCATTTATGTTGATATGGCCTCTGCAGAAGTCAGGGCATTCATACTTCTTGCGGTTTGCGGTAGCAGCGCAAAGCTGTTGAGCAGAGCTGTTGTCAAGGAAGTGAGTTTGTGTTTATACAGGACCTCCCACCCTCACCTAATGTCAACCAATCATGTCAATGCGGAGCTATACGGAGCCTACCGCACTGTTACAAAATTTGAGAGGCGTATGGCGATGCAGTACGGTGCTCAATTTGGCCTCTGCCGTGCCTCCGGAGGCTTCGCATTTGCGTCACACCATCCATACGGCGCCTCTGACCACATTTTCGGTTCAAGCATAAATTGGCTCTTTGAGAATATTTACTGAATGCAGACATACCATAATCATCAGGCTGTGTCACGTCCTTTCATGTCCCCCTGGACCAAATGATACAATTATCCCCCGGGCAAGCCATTATAAGTTAATGTACTCCTTCCAGTTCTACCCCCAAACTTTTCTCTTATAAAATCATTTGCTTACGTTGGCGACCCAGTTTAGTGGCATTAGCTTTTCCTTTTGAAGATGCATTGAGCTTCACAGCATGACATCCACATTACAGAGCAGGGAGAGAAATCACTAAATTACTGCTGCTTATTCCAGTGGAAGAGTGAACATGAATATTAATTTGACAAAATCAGACATACTATATCAATAGATGTTTGCATAGTGTAGAAATATTTAAGGTCTATTCGGTTCCATTGTTTTCTTGTGAGTGCTCCCACATAAAAACATATTACAGTTTACTATAGAAAACTATAGTACTTACTATAGAATTCTGTAATAAACTGTAGTATACTGTAGAATCCTATACTCCACACTGCAGTCTCCCTCGATCGTCTAGTGCTTACTATATACTTTTGTTGTATACTGTAGAATACTATACTACACACTGCACTATCCCTTGACCATGTGTAGTACTTACTTGAACGTTTTGTAGTATACTGGAGAGTTCTATACGACACACGATTGTGTAGTACTTTCTATAGAATTTTGTAGTATACTGGAGAATACTATACTACACAACTGTAGTATCCCCCTCGATCGTGTATTGCTTGCTATAGAATTGTGTAGTATACTGTAGAATATCATACTACACACTGTTATCTCTTCATCATGTAGTGCTTACTTTAGAATTTTTAGATCAATTGGACTGCTAGCTAGCTTTACTACTAGGTGCTAGCTTTGTCGATGCTGTTTTGATTTGAACATGATGTCCTTGGGGAGCTCATGCCGGGGGTTTCCTCTGAAGTTCCCCCTCGATCGTGTAGTACTTATTATAGAATTTTGTAGTATACTGTAGAATACTATACTCCATACTGTCATATCCCTTGATTGGTTTTATTAGACTATTTAAAAGCACAATACAACCACAAATGCATTTAGAAATTTCCATAACACAAAACAAGTTTATGATTTATTTCCATTGTGGTCCTAGTTCAAACATCAAACATGTTACACATTTACAGCTAACCCACATGAAAAAATTATATAGTAAACTATGGTCTAAATACTGTAGTATTACTCTATTTATATACTGTAGTATTCCTTGTAGAGTTTTTGTGGGCATGACTGTAGTAAACTTAAGCAATAAGGCACAAGGGGATGTGGTATATGGCCAATATACCATGGCTATGGGCTGTTCTTATGCACGACGCAATGCGAAGTGACTGGATACAGCCCTTAGCTGTGGTACTGTATATTGGCCATATACCACAAACCCCTTAGGTGCCTCATTGCTATTACAGTGGCTTGCGAAAGTATTCACGCCCCTTGGCATTTTTCCTATTTTGTTGCCTTACAACCTGGAATTAAAATGGATTTTTGGGGGGTTTGTATCATTTGATTTACACAACATGCCTACCACTTTGAAGATGCAAAATATTTTTTCTTGTGAAACAAACAAGAAATAAGACAAAAAAACAGAAAACTTGAGCGTGTATGACTATTCACCCCCCCAAAGTCAATACTTTGTAGAGCCACCTTTTGTAGCAATTACAGCTGCAAGTCTCTTGGGGTATGTCTCTATAAGCTTGGCACATCTAGCCACCGGGATTTTTGCCCATTCTTCAAGGCAAAACTGCTCCAGCTCTTTCAAGTTGGATGGGTTCCACTGGTGTACAGCAATCTTTAAGTCATACCACAGATTCTCAATTGGATTGAGGTCTGGGCTTTGACTAGGCCATTCCAAGACATTTCAATGTTTCCCCTTAGACCACTCGAGTGTTGCTTTAGCAGTATGCTTAGGGTCATTGTCCTGCTGGAAGGTGAACCGCCGTCCCAGTCTCAAATCTCTGGAAGACTGAAACAGGTTTCCATCAAGATTTTCCCTGTATTTAGCGCCATCCATCATTCCTTTAATTCTGACCAGCTTCCCAGTCCCTGGCGATAAAAAACATATCCACAGCATGATGCTGCCACCACCATGCTTCACTGTGGGGATGGTGTTCTCGGGGTGATGAGAGGTGTTGGGTTTGCGCCAGACATGGCGTTTTCCTTGATGGCCAAAAAGCTCAATTTTAGTCTAATCTGACCAGAGTACCTTCTTCCATATGTTTGGGCGTCTCCCACATGGCTTTTGGCGAACACCAAACGTGTTTGCTTATTTTCTTCTTTAAGCAATGGCTTTTTTCTGGTCACTCTTCCGTAAAGCCCAACTCTGTGGAGTATACGGTTTGAAGTGGTCCTATGGACATATACTCCAATCTCCGCTGTGGAGCTTTGCAGCTCCTTCAGGGTTATCTTTGGTCTCTTTGTTGCCTCTCTGATTAATGCCCTCCTTGCCTGGTCCATGAGTTTTGGTGGGCAGCCCTCTCTTGGCAGGTTTGTTGTGGTGCCATATTCTTTCCATTTTTTAATAAAGGATTTAATGGTGCTCCGTGGGATGTTCAAAATGTCTGATATTTTTTTATAACCCAATCCTGATCTGTACTTCTCCACAACTTTGTCCCTGACCTGTTTGGAGAGCTCCTTGGTCTTCATGGTGCCGCTTGCTTGGTGGTGCCCCTTGCTTAGTGGTGTTGCAGACTCTGGGGACTTTCAGAACAGGTGTATATATACTGAGATCATGTGACAGATCATGTGACACTTAGATTGCACACAGGTGGACTTTATTTAACTAATTATGTGACTTCTGAAGGTAATTGGTTGCACCAGATCTTATTTAGGGGCTTCATAGCAAAGGGGGTGAATACATACGCACGCACCACTTTTCCGTTATACATTTTTTAGATTTTTTTTAAACAAGTTATTTTTTAAATTTCACTTCACCAATTTGGACTATTTTGTGTATGTCCATTACATGAAATCCAAATAAAAATCAATTTAAATTACAGGTTGTAATGCAACAAAATAGGAAAAACACCTAGGGGGATGAATACTTTTGTAAGGCACTGTATAAACTGGTTACCAACGAAATTAGAATAGTAAAAATTAATGTTTTGTCATACCCGTGGTATACGGTCTGATACACCACGGCTTTCAGCCAATCAGCAATCAGGGCTCGAACCACCCAGTTTATAATATAGTATTCACTGTAGTGTTTTCTGCGGACTTTACAGTAGTCACTGTAGTGTTTTTGCGGACATGACTAGTATACTATAGTATTTATTGTAGTGTTTTTGCGGGCATGACTGTAGTATTTACTGTAGTGTTTTAGCAGACATGACTGTAGTATATTGTAGTAACACCTGCTGACTAGGGTTAGCTAAAGTGGCACAACTACCAGACTACGCCAGTTACTGTTTAATGAGGGTAACACCTCAACCAGAACATAAGCAGGTTCATGACAGGCCATCTATTGAGTTGGGTCAACAGTTCTGAGCAATGCAACGGACCAGACAATACCTTAGCAAAAAATATAAAAAACGTATTACAATTGTAACATCTTAACATTAGACAGGTTCTTGGCCCATTAAAGGAAATAGTACAGAGGCAGATAACAAACAAGCAAAGTTAATTAAAGCTTAGAGGATTAGATTTGCTTCTTTGACAGATAAATAACACATTACCAAATTACTTCTTAAATCTGTTAGTTCCACAAGATAGCGTTCTGAAACACAACAGTGTTGTACAATACTGTACTTCTGATGGTAGAAAATAACAGTTTTTACATTTACATAAACAATATATATTTTCAAACTTCAAATGACTTTACTTAAAGACAGTCACATTGTAGGGCATTGGAAATAAACTGCCTAGACCTCAAACCAGAAAAGCTGTGGCAATTTACATAATGAACATCTTGAATATTGTTCAACATGAATAAACTCATTGATGGTCAAACTCAACACATACCATTCAGAAGATTGACCACACCCCAAACATTTATTCAAGACAGCATGGTCACAAATTGGTTGCTCACAGAAATAAACCAGTTCCTGTTGGCTTTACCAGTATAAATCAACAGTAATCATCAGACAACCAACAATACATACCCAGTTAGTGGCTTAAGACTTCAAGTCACATATCATATCATCAAGCACCCTGTAGCTCAGTTGGTAGAGCATGGCGCTTGCAACGCCAGGGTTGTGGGTTTGTTTCCCACTGGGGGCCAGTATGAAAATGTATGCACTCACTAACTGTAAGTCACTCTGGATAAGAGCATCTGCAAAATGTAAATGCAAAATGTAATCAAAGAGGATCGTACCTGGCATATTTATGATTGTTTGAGTAGAGCAAGCCACTATCTGGGTATGTCTTATTGTTGATGATTTATACTGGTAAAGCCAAAAGGAACTGGCAGTTGGTTTTTAATCTATGAACAGAATTCCATGCTCGGTGACGTGGATGCGGGGCAGGTGTGCCACGAATGCCCTCGAACAAAACTGTACTTCTGAATTGTCCACTCAAGTCCTTTTGTTATCCCGATCTAGAACACCTCACCATCAAATGCCGACCGCATGACCTCCCAAGATCTTTTTTTATACACGGCCGTGTATATCCCCCCCATGGACGTGTACAAACAGACCAGCTATGACCTCCGTAAGGCAATCAAAGAGGCTATATGACAGCACAGGGACAAAGTGGAGTCACAATTCAACGGCTCAGACACGAGACGTATGTGGCAGGGACTCCAGACAATCACAGACTATAAATGGAAAGCCAGCCACGTTGTGGACACTGACGCCTCGCTCCTGGAAAAGCTAAACACCTTTGCCACTTCGAGGACAACACAGAGCCACCAACACAGGCCACCCACGCGGGCCACCGCCGCTCATGAGGACTGTAAGCTCTTGTGGCCGGAGTGAGTAAGACATTTAAGCTTGTTAACCCTCGCAAGGCTGCCGGCCCAGACATCCCAATCCGCGTCCTCAGAACATGTGCAGACCAGCTGGCTGGAGTTTTTACGGACATATTCAATCTCTCCCTATCCCAGTCTGTTGCCCCCACTTGCTTCAAGATATCCACCATTGTTCCTATACCCAAGAAAGTGAAGGTACAGTGCATTCGGAAAGTATTCAGGCCCCTTGACTTTTTCCACATTTTGTTACGTTACAGCCTTATTCTAAAATGGATTAAATTGTTTTTTTCCCCTCATCAATCAACACACAATACCCCATAACAACAAAGGAATAACAGGTTTTTTCAAATTCATAAAAAATTAAAAACAGTAATATCACATTTATATAAGTATTCAGACCCTTTACTCAGTACTTTGTTGAAACACCTTTGGCAGTGATTACAGCCTTGAGTCTTCTTGGGTATGACGCTACAAACTTGGCACACCTGTATTTGGGGAGTTTCTCCCATTCTTCTCTGCAGATCCTCTCAAGCTCTGTCAGGTTGGATGGGGAGCATCGCTGAACAGCTATTTTCAGGTCTCTCCAGAGATGTTCAATCGGGTTCAAGTCCAGGCTCTGGCTGGGCCACTCAAGGACATTCAGAGACTTGTCCCGAAGCCACTTCTGCGTTGTCTTGGCTGTGTGCTTAGGATCGTTGTCCTGTTGGAAGATTAGCCTTCGCCCCAGTCTGAGGCCCTGAGCGCTCTGGAGCAGGTTTTCAACAAGGATCTCACTCTACTTAGCTCCGTTCAGCTTTCCCTTGATCCCAGTCCCTGCCGCTGAAAACCATCCCCACACCATGATTCTGCCACCACCATGCTTCACCGTAGGGATGGTGCCAGGTTTCCTCCAGACGTGACGCTTGGCATTCAGACCAAATAGTTCAATATTGGTTTCATCAGACCAGAGAATCTTGTTTCTCATGGTCTGAGAGTCCTTTAGCTGCCTTTTGGCAAACTCCAAGCGGGCTGTCGTGCCTTTTACTGAGGAGTAGCTTCCGTCTAGCCACTCTACCATAAAGGCCTGATTGGTGGAGTGCTGCAGAGATGGTTGTCCATCTGGAAGGTTCTCCCATCTCCACAGAGGAACTCTGGAGCTCTGTCAGAGTGACCATTGGGTTCTTGGTCACCTCCCTGACCAAGGCCCTTCTTCCCCAATTGCTCAGTTTGGCCGGGCGGCCAGCTCTAGGAAGAGTCTTGATGGTTCCAAACTTCTTCCATTTAAGAATGATGGATGCCACTGTGTTCTTGGGGACTTTCAATGCTGCAGAATTTTTTGGGTACCCTTCCCCAGATCAGTGCCTCAACACAATCCTGTCTCGGAGCTCTACGGACATTTCCTTCGACCTCATGGCTTGGTTTTTGCTCTGACATACACTGTCAACTGTGAGACCTTATATAGACAGGTGTGTGCCTTTCCAAATCATGTCCAATCAATTGAATTTACCACAGGTGGACTCCAATCAAGTTGTAGAAACATCTCAAGGATGATCAATGGAAACAGGATGCACCTGAGCTCAATTTCGAGTCTCATAGCAAAGGGTCTGAATACTTATGTAAATAAGGTATTTCTGTTTTAATTTTTTTATACATTTGAAAACATTTCTTAAACCCTGTTTTCGCTTTGTCATTATGGGGTATTGTGTGTAGATTGATGAGGAAAACAATTAATTTAATCAATTTTAGAATAAGGCTGTAACGTAACAGAATGTGGAAAAAGTCAAGGGGTTTGAATACTTTCTGAATGCACTGTAACTGAGCTAAATAAATGACTATTGCCCCGTTGAACTCACTTTTGTCATCATGAAGTGCTTTGAGAGGCTAGTTAAGTACCATATCACCTCCACCTTACCCGATACCCTAGACCCACAACAATTTGCGTACCGCCCCAACAGATCCATGGATGATGCAATTGCCATCGCACTGCACACTGCCCTATCCCACCTGGACAAGAGGAATACCTATGTAAGAATGCTGTTAATCGACTACAGCTCAGCCTTCAACACCATAGTGCCCTCCAAGCTCATCAGTAAGCTCGGGGCCCTGGGTCTGAACCCCTAATTGTGCCACCGACCCCACGTGGTGAAGGTAGGCAACAACACCTCCACCATGCTGATCCTCAACACGGGCCCCACAAGGGTGTGTGCTCAGCCCCATCCAGTACTCCCTTTTCACCCGTGAACGCGTGACCACCCACTTCTCCAACTCAATCATCAAGTTTGCTGATGACACAAGAGTGGTAGGCCTGATTACCATCAACGACGAGACAGCCTACAGGGAGGAGGTGAGGGCCCTGGAGTGGTGCCAGGACAATAACCGCTCCCTCAACGTCAGCAAAATGAAGGAGCTGATTGCGGACTTCAGGAGACAGCAGAGAGAGCACGCCCCCATCCACATTGACAGGGCTGCAGTGGAGAGGGTGAAAAGCTTCAAGTTCCTCGGTGTGCACATCACTGACAAACTGAAATGGTCCATCCACACAGACAGTGTTGTGAAAAAGGCGCAACATTGTGTCTTCAACCTCATGAGGCTGAAGAAATTCAGCTTGGCCCCTAAGACCCTCACAAACTTCTACAGATGCACCATTGGGAGCATCCTGTCGGGCTGTATCAATACCTGGCACTGCAATTGTACCGTCTACAATCGCAGGGCTCTCCAGAGGGTGGTGCAGTCAGCCCAACGCATCACCGGGGGCACACTGCCTGCTCTCCAAGACATCTACAGCACCCGGTGTCACAGGAAGGCCAAGAAGATCATCAAGGACCTCAGCCACCTGAGCCACGGCCTCTTCACCTCGCTCTCATCTAGAAGGCGGAGACAGTACTGTTTAATCAAACCTGGGACCGAGAGACTGAAAAACAGCTTCAATCTCCAGACCATCAGACTGTTAAATAGTCACCCCTAGCCCTTGGGCATTAATATGGAGTTAGTCCCCCCTTTGCTGCTATAACAGCCTCCACTCTTCTGGGAAGGCTTTCCACTAGATGTTGGAACATTTCTGCGGGGACTTGCTTCCATTCAGCCACAAGAGCATTAGTGAGCCCGGGCACTGATGTTTGGCAATTAGGCCAAGTTTTCCACACCGATCTCAACAAACCATTTCTGTATGGACCTCGCTTTGTTTACATGGGAATTGTCATGCTGAAACAGGAAAGGGCCTTCCCCAAACTGTTGCCACAAAGTTGGAAGCACAGAATCGTCTAGATTGTAATTGTATGCTGTAGCGTTAAGATTTCCCTTCACTGGAACCAAGGGGCCTAGCCCAAACCATGAAAAACAGCTAAAATACTACAGTGAATACTATAGTATACTACTGTCATCTCCCCGAAAACACTACAGTGAATACTACAGTAAAGTCCACAAAAACACTAAAGTGAATACTATAATACCGTTGAAGTCAGAAGTTTACATACACTTAGGTTGGAGTCATTAAAACTTGTTTTTCAACCACTCCACAAATGTCTTGTTAACAAACTATAGTTTTGGCAAGTCGGTTAGGACATCTACTTTGTGCATGACACAAGGAATTTTTCCAACAATTGTTTACAGACAGATTATTTCACTTATAATTCACTGTATCACAATTCCAGTGGGTCAGAAGTTTACATACACTAAGTTGACTGTGCCTTTAAACAGCTTGGAAAATCCCAGAAAATGATGTCATGGCTTTAGAAGCTTCTGATAGACTAATTTACATCATTTCAGTCAATTGGAGGTGTACCAGTGGATGTATTTCAAGGCCTACCCTCAAACTCAGTTTCTCTTTGCTTGACATCATGGGAAAATCAAAAGAAATCAGCCAAGACCTCAGAAAGAAGTATGGTTCATCCTTGGGAGAAATTTCCAAATGCCTGAAGGTACCACATTCATCTGTACAAACAATAGTATGTAAGTATAAACACCATGGGAACACGCAGCCGTCATACCGCTCAGGAAGGAGACTGTCTCCTAGAGATTAACATACTTTGTTGCAAAAAGTGCAAATCAATCCCAGAACAACAGCAAAGGACCTTGTGAAGATGCTGGAGGAAACAGGTACAAAAGTATTTATATCCACAGTAAAACTAGTCATATATCGACATATCCTGAAAGGCTGCTCAGCAAGGAAGAAGCCACTGCTCCAAAACCGCCATAAAAAAGCCAGACTACAGTTTGCAACTGCACATGGGGACAAAGATCGTACTGTTTGGAGAAATGTCCTCTGGTCTGATGAAGCAAAAATAGAACTGTTTGGCCATATTGACCATCGTTATGTTTGGAGGAAAAAGGTTGGACGCTTGCAAGCCGAAAGAACACCATCCCAACCGTGAAGCACTGGGGTGGCAGCATCATGCTGTGGGGGTGCTTTGCTGCAGGAGGGACTGGTGCACTTCACAAAATAGATGGCATCATGAGGAAGGAAAATTATGTGGATTTATTGAAGCAACATCTCAAGACATCAGTCAGGAAGTTAAAGCTTAGTCGCAAATGGGTCTTCCAAATGAACAATGACCCCAAGCATTCTTCCAAAGTTGTGGCAAAATGGCTTAAGGACAACAAAGTCAAGGTATTGGAGTGGCCATCACAAAGCCCTGACCTCAATCCTATAGAAAATGTGTGGTCAGAACTGAAAAAGCGTGCAAGCAAGGAGGCCACCAACTCTCCAACTTATTGTGGGAAGCTTGTGGAAGGCTACCCGAAACGATTGACCCAAGTTAAACAATTTAAAGGCAATGCTACCAAATACTAATTGAGTGTATGTAAACTTCTGTGTCACGCCCTGACATTGAGATCTCTAGTTGAGTTGGTCAGGGTGTGAAATCTAATTTATATATTTCTATGTTGGCCGGGTGTGGTTCCCAATCAGAGGCAGCTGTGGGTCGTTGTCTCTGATTGGGGATCATACTTAGGCAGCCATGTCGCCTACCTTAGTTGTGGGATCTTGTTTCTGTTTCTGTTTTGGCTTGTTTGATGTTTAGCCTCTTGAACTTCACGTTCTGTTGGATTTTGTTATTTTGTCGGTGTTTATTAAAATAAACGACTATGTACGCATACCACGCTGCACCTTGATCAGATCCTTTATACAATGAATGTGACAGAAGATCCCACCACCAACGGACCAAGCAGCGTGGCCAGGAGGAGCAGACATGCTGGACACAGGTGGGAAAAACATTCTGGACATGGGAGGAGATTTTGGCCGGTAAGGGACCCTGGGCGAAGTAAGAAGCCCAGGCAGGAGAGAAAAAACGGCGACTCAAAAGGTCCCGATCACGAAGGAAGCCCGAGAGGCAGCAGGAGGCCCTGGAAGGGCTGATTGTGGAGAGGGAGATAGCGATAGAAGAAGCCGCTATGATAGATGCCCTTCAAGACCTGCAGCTCAGTACTCTGAGAGAGGAGACCACTGCCTTACGGGAGCTGTTAGTTCAGAAGGAGGCGCTGCAGGAGGCCCACAGGGAGAAGGAGTCAGTGGATGCACGGAGAGAGGAGCTGGCCAGGCAACAGGAGGAGCTGAGAGAGGAGTTAACTCTCCAGCAGCAGAGAGCTCGATCCTTAGAGCAGAGGCTGGCGGAGCCAGGTTTAGCAGAGCCAACTCCCCGTACTCGCTTTGAGGAGCGTGTGACCATGCAGGCACCAGGCTATGCGCCGGCTTTACGCACTGTGCCGCCAGTGCTCCTTCACAGTCCGGTAAGGCCCGTACCTGCTCCTCGCACCAAACCAGTGTTGCGTGTCTCTAGTCCGGTACGGCCCGTACCTGCTCCTCGCACCAAACCAGTGGTGCGTGTCCCCAGCCTGGTAAGGCCCGTTCCTGCTCCTCGCACCAAACCAGTGGTGCGTGTCTCCAGTCCGGTACGGCCCGTTCCTGCTCCTCGCACCAAACCAGTGGTGCGTGTCTCCAGTCTGGTACGGCCCGTCCCTGCTCCTCGCACCAAACCAGTGGTGCGTGTCCCCAGGGCGGTACGGCCCGTTCCAGCGCCACGCACCCGACCTCCAGCGACGATCAGCTGCTCCACTCCAGTACAGACATCAACCCCTCTCCAGGGTCGGGGTCTCCCACACCAGGGTCCAGACAGGACTTGGTGCATCGCGGGAGGACTGCTGGGCCGGAACCAGACGTCAGCCCCTCTCCAGGGTCGAGGGCTCCCACATCAGGGTCCAGACAGGACTTGGTGCATCGTGGGAGGACTGCTGGGCCGGGACCAGACGTCAGCCCCTCTCCAGGGTTGAGGGCTCCCACACCAGGGTCCAGACAGGACTTGGTGCATCGTGGGAGGACTGCTGGGCCGGGACCAGACGTCAGCCCCTCTCCAGGGTTGAGGGCTCCCACACCAGGGTCCAGACAGGGATTGGTGCATTGTGGGAGGACTGAGAGGGGGAGCATCACGCCGGGGTCCAGACTGGACCGGGCATGCAAAGGGGAGGCAGGATGGGAGAAGAGTTTACTGCCTACGTCACGTCCGAAGCTGGAGCCGGAGCCGCCACCGAGGCTAGATGCCCACCCGGACCCTCCCCTAATGAGTCAGGTTTTAATGAGTCGGGGGGGGTACTGTCACGCCCTGACATTGAGATCTCTAGTTGAGTTGGTCAGGGTGTGAAATCTAATTTATATATTTATATGTTGGCCGGGTGTGCTTCCCAATCAGAGGCAGCTGTCGGTCATTGTCTCTGATTGGGGATCATACTTAGGCAGCCATGTTGCCTACCTTAGTTGTGGGATCTTGTTTCTGTTTTGGCTTGTTTGATGTTAAGCCTCTTGAACTTCACGTTCTGTTGGATTTTGTTATTTTGTCTGTGTTTATTAAAATAAACGACTATGTACGCATACCACGCTGCACCTTGGTCCGATCCTTTATACAACAAACGTGACATTCTGACCCACTGGGAATGTGATGAAAGAAATAAAAGCTGAAATAAATAATTCTCTCTACTATTATTCTGACATTTCACATTCTTAAAATAAAGTGGTGATCCTTTCTGACCTAAGACAGGGAATATTTACCAGGATTAAATGTCAGGAATTGTGAAAAACTGAGTTTAAATGTATTTGGCTAAGGTGTATGTAAACTTCCGACTTCAACTGTATATAAATATAGTAATACTACAGTATTTAGACCAGCGGTATTCAACTCTTACCCTACGGGTTCCGGAGCCTGCTGGTTTTCTGTTCAACCTGATAATGAATTGCACCCACCTGGTGTCCCAGGTCTAAATCAGTCCCTGAGTAGAGAAAAAATGCAGTGGAACTGGCTTCGAGGTCCAGAGTTGAGTTTGAGGGATTTAGACCATAGTATTTTTTTATGTGGGCTGGTAGGAATATCTTTAGCTATTTATCAAAGTATAAACAAATTATGCTATATGGATAACTGCCACCGCATTTTTTTGCATAATTGAACATGACATGGTTGTTGTGATTGTGTGTGGATTGTTGAGAATGATCCAGGTTTGTTCTAGATGCAGACAGCATCATGACAGACCCCTGGCCTCGGTGGGTAAAAACATGACCCATCCCCCATTAAAACAAGCAATGGTTATACTGTATATTACTGTAATCCTGACTCACAGCAGAGCTTCACCACACTGGCACGGAGGAACAGGACAGAGACTATGCCCATCAACTGGCACACAGAAAGGGATGCTCTGATCCCATGGTGGGGGTTGGAGCTGGGGAGAGAGTAAGTGAACCACTGGCCAAAACTGGTATTTAAAAATTGAAATTGAAAAATGGGCACAACATCTGAGATGGGATAAATCAATGAGCCAAGCTTGAACATCATCATAACACACTGAGGGTTCTCTGAGGTTTCTCTGAGGGTTCTCTGAGGTTTCTCTGAGCTGCCATATTGTGTAACCACAGCCCAGTGTAGAAGAGGTTCTCAGTACAAAGTTGCATAAATGATATGATGCATATGTATTTTCAAGTGTTTATTCTAAAGCTAAGCACATGCAAATGAGGACATAACACTGTGTGTGTGTTTGTGTGTGTGTGTGTGTGTGCGTGTGCGAGTGTGTGAAAGACTGAAAGAAAGAGACATAAACACACAAGCCTTCTATAGCAGAGGAAGGCAGACCAGCTTTAGAAGTAGTTTTACGGACATTAGCTGGAGCTGAAAGTGGGGTAGATTTTGCATATTTAATTAGTGGAGGGATTTACCCTTGAAAGGCTCCTGCATAGACTGAATGGAAAAGAAAGAAAGAAAGAAAGAAAGAAAGAAAGAAAGAAAGAAAGAAAGAAAGAAAGAAAGAAAGAAAGAAAGAAAGAAAAAGAAAGAAAGAAAGAAAGAAAAAGACACAGAAAGAAACAAAGAAGTTGTTTGTTGATGTTGCTGTTGTTACTGTATTATTAGTACTCCCTAGCATTGAATAACCTGGGTATGTTTCTCTGTATCCCTGTTTGTGGCTGTCTTTTTTTGTTTTCATATTTCTCTGTTTCTCAGCATATCACAGTCCCCCAGTGTGTGTGAGTATCTGCCAGTGTCTCAGTGTTTATCAGACTCCATCATGATATTCACTCACAGTTCAGAGTCCGACCCAGTGGGCAGCTGCTCACGCCTGTCTCAGTCCAGGGCACCAGCTGTGTACCAATGGACCACTAGCCTCCTACGACAATTGGCTCCAGCAAATCAATGCAGCTAACAGGCTAAGGCTCTCATCCAGCTGCAACTCTGCACACATGCTGTCCTCTCTATGGACATTAATTATAATGCGCCATCTTGATAATGACAGAGAAAGCACATGTAGGACACATGTAAAGAAAGTCTGCAAAACAGATTCTTTGTACAGTGCATTTATTGAAACCAACAAATAAATAAATACACCAGATTCATGACGTACATCAGACCTGTTCGAACAGTAACGCTTAAACAGATAAATCAATCAATATTTCAATACACTCCAGTCCTTTTAATTGAGCTTAATTCTATTTGATCCAGCATTCAATGTTTATTGAAACCATACTTTGTGCTAATACTACATCTGACCTCTGGAGCCTTGTTGTTCATCAACTCAATCACTAAGGGCCCGATTCCGAATTAGGAAATTACACCTTTCTTACTGACACCTTTCCTACGCACTTCTCAGTAGTTGGTATTCCGACTTACTTTATGAAGGTTCGTAATGGCCTTTGCAGGCATAGTTCCCTTGCGCTCGCTGAATACATGTAATTAAACTGCTAAAAACCCTCCCACATGCTGGCTAACAGATTTTCTCTTGAGTTTTCATTCAATAGGTTTTTCAGTACATTTATCTCAAGTCATCCCTTTAAATATGGTGTACCTTTAATTATAATTTTATTAGAACGTATGCATCTTCATCTTTGTTTCAGCACCAACTGATAGATTTTAAAATACTCTGATCTGTTAGATTATTTAGGAACATTTTTGGGTTAGGAAAGTATGTAGGAATCATAAAAAAACAGGTTTGAAGAGTCCTATAAATCTACCCTAATCCTCACTAATCATGGAACTGTGATGACAATTACATTGTGAACCGTGCGCCAGGCTCCAGGTTTAACCTGCTACGTGTGGTCTGAGTTCCATAATGACTCAAATAGGCTACATGTCCCAAATGATTGCACAACGTTAGCCTAATATGATCCACTAATGCTAGCGACCCTCAGGAACAATTTACACCGACGTGACAGAGGAAAGAAAGGTAAACGGAATGGAATTATGCAAATTGTAAGGTACAAATTGAAGAAAACTAACACTAAGGTGACAGTTATAAATGTATGTGGGTATTACTGACAGTGGCTCCCAATAGTGGCTAATATTTAACATGATACAAGGCTATAATTAAAACATTATAAAGTGCATACATCAACTCGGCAGGTTCAGCCCTACAGAAGCTTGGGTGTCCAAATTTCATCCATGCAAATTATGAGGGCACACACAAGTTCTGGCATAAAAATAACGGTACACCTATTTATTGCCTATTTCACTGTGGAAAAGTGCATGTTATGTTGATATGATTTTCAGTTTGCTTCCATTTAACTGGTTTCACAATCGTCTCCAGTGATTATAAGGAAAAATAATCTAAAACTCCAAATGGATTACTCATTTACCTAGCTCTTATTAATAGCTCTTATCCATCTATAAATTGCAGTGCATGGAAAATGCTGTTATTTCCATCTATGGAACCGGCAGGTTCGCTCAACCTTATTTATGGTTTCCTCGGGCGTAAAGGTGGTGGAATTATGAGGGAATTAAGTCAAAGTCAGAATACGGTTTATCTGTACACTCTGTTCCAAAAGGGTTCTTCAGCTGTCCACACAGGACAACCCTTTTTGGTTCCAGGTAAAACCCTTTTTGGTTCCAGGTAGAACTATTTTGGGTTCCATGTAGAACCCTTTCCACAGAGGGTTCTACATGGAACCCAAAATAGTTCTACCTGGAACCCAAAACAGTTCTACTTGGAACCAAAAGAGTTCTACCTGGAACCAACAAGGATCCTTCAAAGGGTTCTCCTATGGGGACAGCCGAAAAACCCTTTTAGGTCGTAGATAGCACCTTTTTTTCGAAGAGTATCGACACACCTCCGCCACACCTTCATTTCTTTGATCTCCACCCCAAATGAATAGTGGGTGAATTGCATGCTTTTTTCATGTTTAAGTTCAAGATCAGAAAACACATGGAGAGAGAAGTGCATAAAAAGGGAATTACGTTCCATTTACAGGAGCTTAACTCGGGTCGGAATCAGGGCCTGATTGATCTGTTGAGTCTGCTTTAAGTCAATTACCCTGTTGAAAGACATAGTGACACACACACTGACCTATATTCCAGTGCAATATCATGGAATTATGGTTCAAGAGTATATCACACACATAATAAAAAAAAAAAGTGTTATGACTGTGCATCTGTGCATATCTACAGTGCATTATAGTGCACTACAACACTATAATAAAGTATGTGGTAATCTTCACTATAATATATAGCATATTACATCATTATTGACATGCTTGTACTATGATCTGGGCGACCAACAGTACTGATAGGTTGGTCACTTCCAGCCTGTGTTAAAAAGACAAACCCTGCCCACCTTTGGCGAGAGAGTAGTTAATTACAGGACATAGGTCAGGGTTTGCAATAACATCAGGGTGGGAGACTTCCTATCAAACTTGTGATGTCAGTCAAGGGATATTTCAATGAAAGAGGTTAGGTAAACACAAGCAGCCCTGGAATTGCCCAAATCTGGCCTGAGGTACTCTCAATATTTGGCATCCATCGTGGGAGGGTAAATCCGTTGTTTCCGTTAATTACGGCTCCTGGCCTGACATTGTTATTGTCGGAGAGAGTAGGGTTGTGAGGCAGCCAGGTGTGGTTGTGTTTGGCCGCGTGCAGCAGACAGGTCAAAGTGCAGAGGAAGACATATCTCGTCTGATTGGCTGGCTTTCTCCTTATCTTGGTGATTACAGTACATATTTCCAAATGGAAAGTTTGAAAGTTTCCCAGAAAATAAAATGAAAAGACAAGCACCCGAACAGATAAAGACACATACACGCACACATTGACCCTCACTGAAATAACAAATACCTCAAGGATGTAATAAACTAAAGGAAGCTCATACGGTAAGCAATTGAAGTGATAGGACAATTCTTCTCAAGTGATGCTACACAGACCAACTAGTATTGTGTGAGTGTGTCTCAGATGTTTCTTCTGCATTCACCTGCTGGTTTACGAGCTTGATCCATTATTAAAGGAGTTGCTTTGCACACCTTAAGTGACACGTTGGTGTCTCTGAATGCCCTGTCAGAGATCCGACAGAAACGGGTTGAGACATGGCTCTGCACTCCTGCCCTCTCACGCTATGACCTTACTGTTGCAAAACAGTAGCAAGCACAGACACCTTACTAATAACCTTGTGTTTGCCTTCGTCATCCTGTTCTCTGTTGTTAAAACATGGGAATCTTCCTTTCTGTTAGTGGGTTAGATAGGCTGACATGTTATCTTGTCAATATGTTTTACACAATCTATAAATAGCATGTTTGGCCGGCATCATCTGCCCTATATCCCCTGCCAGACTGGCACTCATTTGTCCCTTTCAGCTGATCTAAAGATGGTTTCACAGTTTAGCTTTTAAGGTTATGGTTAGGAGTATGTACAGCACCCAGAGTATGTACACTCACACACACAGACCCCATCTGCCCCTTGTCCCTAATCAGCTTATCACTGTCCATCCTCCTCCCTCCCACCGGTGGGTGAGTGTGTCAGGGCGTGACATACATTAGCAGCAGCCTTCTCATAGGAACTAGGGATCATCAAGCCTTCAGTTTACAACAACACTTCCCAGTCCCCCAGAAATCAACACACATTCCCCCTGGCCCCCGTTCAACCCAGGCCTCATAGTCTAAAGTCAAACTCTACACACACATACACACGCACAGAACAGAGACATACACTCAGCACACACACACACACACACACACACACACACAACTGAGCATTGCAAACATACAGTACACACACTAAGACGGCTACATTTCCACATGAGTTTGTGTGATTGTGAGGAAATGCAGATGTGTGTGTGTCTGTGTGTTTTTCCCCTTGCAGAACACCAGAGCCCAGCTGATCTCTCAGTCAATATGGACATATGGCCTCCTCTATGCCTGAGAGCTAGCAGATCCTCTGCTTGTTTGTCTGTCAGTATAATGGGAAACGACAGAGCATAGGAAAACACAGGAAATATGCTTTAGTTTACTCCCTGTCCCGCACTCCTTCAACATTCGCCTTGTCTCTCAAAATGAAAAATTTTACATCATAGGATCCTCTACTGTTGAAAAGCTTTGAAAGAAAATTTGAGTGGGGCCAATAAGGCATCCTAAAAACACTATGGCAGTTGTCCCTGCCTTGTATGTTGTCCTTACACCTGTGTTCCTCATGATATCAGTTATTTACTAAACAAAACACTGGTCTTCCCATACAGCCACTTGATGACGCAAGCGTTCCTCTCGATGACTGAGATTCCCGGGTCGGGCAGGACACTCCTCGTCTGTCTGGGGGCTGGGCAGTCTGTCTGGGCTTGATCTGAGGCTGGAGCTGGGTCCTCTGGGGCTTCCTCACCTCAGCCTGGGGCCTAACATCCACCCTGCGCACTGTCACTGAGTTTGGAGTGCTGTATGGCACTGGCACCCCCATCCTGATGCCCCGTGCTGGGACAGGAGGCGGCCGGCGGCTGGGCTCGGCAGGGGAGGCCTGGCTGTTGTTGTTAAAGGGAGAGGCGGAGGAAGAGGAGGAGGTGTTGCAGTTATTAACATGTTTAAGGTTGTTCAGGACTCGATTGCTCCTCTCCTGGTCAGCTGAAAGTCCATTCCCGATGCTGTTCCCCCCAGATGAAGGAGAGGAGGCGGAAGGCGAGGAGGGGACAGGAGTTGTTTACTAAACAAAACACTGGTCTTCCCAGACCAAGGTAGTCTGCTCCTTCAGTACAAGCCCTAAGAACTAGCATATTGGCATGCAGAAGGTGCACTCTCACGCCCTTCCTCCCCCCACTCATCCTCTTCCTCTCTCTCTACTGAGGGCTGGACATTAATCACTGCTGACCAGAGTGACAGGTGGTTGGTGCCACTGGGCCTCATCCCAGCCTTGGGGGACAATATTTATCGCTTTGTTTATGGATCCATAGCAGATTGCTGCCCCAATACCATCAACACTATAACCCTCCCCAAAACTACTTAAACCTGCACCCTAAATCAGAACACATCCTTGGGTGAGGAGGTGATGTTGAAATAACGCGCCGTGGGACATGGTTTGGCAGGCAGGGCCACAGTGGAATTCAGCAGGATTCAGCAGCTGGGTAACAGCCCTCACTCTGCCCCCTCCCCATCTATTCCTATTCACCCTCCTCTCCGTCAGTATGGAGGATAAATGCTCCGTTGAGGAAAACTGGGTAAAGTGGGTAAATAGGGCTTGATTCCAACCAGAGTTAAGCTCCTGTAAATGGAACGGAATTCCCTTTCTATGCACTTTTCTCTCCATGTGTATTCTGACCTTGAACTTAAGCATGACAATAGTGCTATTCACCTGCTATTCGTTTTGTGTGGAGATCGAATAAATGAAGGTGTGGCGGAGGTGTGTCTATAGATATGCCGTATTCTGACTTAATTCCCTAATAATTCCACCACCTTTACGCACTAGGAAACAATGAATACGGTCTAGCAAACCTACCGGTTCCAAGTGGAAAAAGCATCTACTTTATTTTTCAGATAGAAATAACACCATTCTCCATGCACTGTAATTTATAACTTGATAAGAGCTAGGTAATGAGTTTGGGTAAGGAAATTGTAAATATAAATGATACTTGTTTTAGATATATTTTACCTTATAATTGCTGGTGACAAATGTGAAACCAGTCATATGGCAGCAAACTAAAGCATATAAACTTTCCCACAATAAAGTTTATGAAATGCTGTGCCATTACGCATAATTTAAATTGTACGGCCTTAACTTGGAGGGATGGGCACTCTTGAATGTGGAAATTATAGGCTACCCCGACTTTCTCTGTTTCCTATTTCTATCATGTTAAATATTAGCCACTATCAGTATCGACCGTCAGTAGGCATAATAACCACACATATTCAACTGCCAATTTACTGTTAGTTCCCTTCAGTTGGTATAGCCTACATAATCATTCCATTTAAAAAATAAATACAAAATGTTTACCTTCATTTGCTTCTTCTGTAAATGCCGTCTCGGCCATGTGGTTGTTGCTGAGGATCATTAGTAACAGTTGATCATATTTTTTAAAAGACATTAAATAATTATGGAGCAGAGCGCAGACCAAGCCATAACAATTTGAACCCAACACATGGCACAATACTTGGCTGTGTCATCACACAGTTCCATGGTTAGTACAGGCAATAGACAAGGGTGTAGCCTACTATTGTACACTATTCTCCCGATTATAATTCTCTGTACACTAATCTTCCAACATTACCATGGGTTGAAGAACAGAATGTGCCATTTTTCAGAATTAATCAAACCAGCTCTCCTAACCTGTTTATGATTCATAAATACTTTCCTAACCCTAATAATCTACAAGATCAGAATATTTGTAAAACTACCAAATGGTGCTGAAACTGAGACAAATATGCATTTATTTCAATGGCTTTCTTTCATTGATCCCTAATATTCTGAACCTGTTCTCTCGATATATTCTATTGAGTATGCAGACAAAATTCTAACTAAAAGGTACACCATGTTTAAATGAATGGCTTAAGATAAATGAACTGGAAACCCAGCAAGTGGGACGGTTTTCAACAGTTGAATTACATTTATTCAGCGCGCGCAAGGGAACCACATTTGCAAAGCCCATTACGCACCTGCATAAGGTAGGTCTAAATACAACAGATGAGAAGTGTGTAAGAAAGTAAATTATGCCTAAGTTGGAATCGGGCCCAAACAGCACCAACACTCTCTTCTGGACATGGGCCAATCTCAGGAAGAAAAGAGAGAACTGTAGCATGATGCACTAAATAAAGTATGTTCCTATAGTCTAGTCAGTCATCTCTCAATGGGCAGACTGTTGGGGTGCAACAATCGGTGTGTGTATGTGTGGTTGTGTAAAAGAGAGAAAGAGATCGAATAGTGAGTTATTGTGCATGAGTGTCCACACTTTGCATTCTAAATAATGGATGAGAGGGACTCTAGAAAAACAGGATAAAATTTAAAAAAAAGCTGTGGTCAAAAGGGATATGGGAGTGCTGCTGGCTGTGTCAATAATTCATGCAAAAAGGAGATTTAGAAACAGCTGCGGGTGTTCCTCTGGACCCGCATCACATTGAAAATCTCAGAACTTGGCAAAGCTGCCCTGTAGCCTCTAAAAACAGAGTCCATACGCCGTCACAATTATCTTATTAAGACATTCAACTCAATGACAAACTCTACACGATTGAAGAGTTTGGTAGGCATTGAAAGCATAATATCACTGACGAGAAATACTTTTCCCCAAAAACTTTATTATTTATTGACATGTTAAGAAACACACCATGTTGCAAGTTGTAGCTTGACTCTTCTTTGGGCAGCCAGACAGTGCTGAACTCAATAGCACATCATTACAACAGATCATGGAGCGCAGTCCTAGACCCATGCGAGGTCTCACCGCTGAGCCCTCCATCCATCTCCTCTGAGAGGAACAGAAAGTCACATAAATAAACAGTCTCCCATCCTTTCCCTTTACACAGAGCAGAGTGCCAGGGTTGGGGTCAATTCCATTTAAATTCCAGTCTATGCAGGAATTTTCATTGAAGAAAATGTGGAATTGGAATTTGGTGTACTTTCTGAATTTACTGGAATTTAAATGGCATTGATTCCAACCCTGCAGAGTGCATATTATCATTACACGTACTTCAGAATTCAGTTACACACAACATTCACACTATTGTTCTGTGGGTGGCTGGTGCCTGGATCTTGTGTGCATATAATGTGTGTGTTTGTCTGTGTGTATGTGCATGTTCACATAGATACAATCAGATTGAACTTTTGTATAATGCTTGAATGCTATGCACCGGTTGTTGAATATTACAATTACAAAAGTTTTATAACAACTTCAAATTGCATTTTTAAAAGAAATACTGGTCCATCTTTTCCGCAGGCTGTCGAGGACACACAGAACCTTCTAAGTCACCTTCTGTTTACTTTCAGAGAATTCACTCTGTCTCACTCCTTCCTACTCCAACCATCCTGATCCCTCTTCCATTGAGCAGTGTCTGTCTTTCCTCACCTCCAACCCCAGACAGCACCCCTACTCATCCACCCTACACTTACCTCAAACATCCATTTACCACACCACTTGTATGTCTGGGCACTCTTTCTCATCCGTGCCCAGACATACAACTTCTTCACTGAATAAACAGAAAAACTAACTGCGCCAATGAAGCCCTATGCTTAGTTAGAGACAATGTTCAATTGCAATACAGAAGACGACAATGCAGTACACAGCTACAGATGTTACTCCATCACTGACCTGAACACGTCTGTGTTTTCAGTGTGTATTTGTGAGTACAGGTGATTGTGCTTTGTTGAGATGACCACACATATATTGACTTTCACTTGCATGCTTGAAAGCAATATCAACGGTATTAATGAGGTTAGAAGAAGAAAAAAAACGTATTTTGTGGAAGCTTTCATGTTTCACAGTATCAATGTGGTTGGTCTTCACTCACTCACACACACACACACACACACATCTGAATGTGTGAAACATCCAGAGCCTATTCTTGCGTCCTTAGAGTCTGTCTAGCTCCAACCCCTGTGCAGACAAAGCAGGGCTCTGGGACCCTATACACAGCCTCCTTAGTACCTGTGTGACAGACAAACAGACAGCAGGGACCACAGCATCACTGGTCTACTGCCATCAACATCATCATCATCATCATCCTCAGCATTCAGTCATTTCTATCACTGCCATTATTGCTTTCGATGTTCGTTTGAGAAGTGTGATTGCTTGTCCTTCTTCTCTTCTAGGGAAGCAGTCCTGACCTGCAGCCCAGACGAATTAATGTACTCCAGAGTGCTCTCCAAGTTTCAAAGTTTGATGCTTCAAAAATAATTATCCTTAAACATGACGTAAGGCAACAGAATACATTATAACAATGTCCTCCTTGAAACAAAAATAAAAAATATATATACCAAAGACCCCTCAATGGTCTGTGGGATTTATCAATAAATAAAAAACACAACGTGGGGCAGGTCTGGGTATCATTCCAGAGCCTCCCCCTCCTGTCTCTTTCCTCTAAACATTGGACACAGCGTTGGAGTCCCGAGCCTGGCGGATCCCGTACAGCCACTTGATGACGCGAGCGTTCCTCTCGATGACTGAGATTCCGTAGGGGACACGCTCCCCGGGTTGGGCAGGACCCTCCTCGTCTTCGTCCTCCCCCTGTTCCCGTGCCCGCTCACACTCAGAGCTGGGGGTGCTGACACTGCGCAGCTTGGACACAGACACAATGTCTGAGCTGGCCCTGGCGAAGCGCTCCACGCCCCCCATGCCCTCTACCTCTTCTGGGTGCAGCCCACAGTAGTTGAAGAAGCGCTCCAGATCGGCTGTGGCTCGTGAGTACCGGTCGCTCAGGTCAGACTTGGAGCGGTGTAGGGAGGGGTGTTTACGGGCCGAGCCAGGACGAGACCCCCTGGAGCTGACTGAGGACAGGCGGGTGAAAGCAGGAGAGGCTGGGGGCATTATGCCGGCCCGGAACACCATGGGGCTTGGAGGCAGGTAGGGTGGGGGAGAGGGGAGAGCCTGCGTGGGGGTGAGGGGCAGAGGTTGGGTCTGGGGCTGCTGTGGAGAAGGTGGTGGTGGGGGCCTGGGGCTGGGCCACCTGGGGCTGGGCAGTCTGTCTGGGCTTGATCTGAGGCTGGAGCTGGGTCCTCTGGGGCTTCCTCACCTCAGCCTGGGGCCTAACATCCACCCTGCGCACTGTCACTGAGTTTGGAGTGCTGTATGGCACTGGCACCCCCATCCTGATGCCCCGTGCTGGGACAGGAGGCGGCCGGCGGCTGGGCTCGGCAGGGGAGGCCTGGCTGTTGTTGTTAAAGGGAGAGGCGGTGGAAGAGGAGGAAGAGGAGGAGGTGTTGCAGTTATTAACATGTTTAAGGTTGTTCAGGACTCGATTGCTCCTCTCCTGGTCAGCTGAGAGTCCATTCCCGATGCTGTTCCCCCCAGATGAAGGAGAGGAGGCGGAGGGCGAGGAGGGGACAGGAGATGGGGAGAAATGCAGGGGTCCATCACACACGTTGTTGATGAGGTTATTGAGGATATCCAGGTTAAGAGGGGGTCCCCTCCGCCACCCTACCCCTCCTGTCCCTCCTCCGTTCTCTGAGTCGGCCGGCCGCCGCGGGAACTTGCGGGCTGGGGGGGCGTTGATCCGAGACTGCAGCATCATGCCCGTGGACAGCAGAGGCTTGCGGATGATGGGTGGTTTGACAGGCTCCTGCCTGGTGAGCACCACCTGCTGGCTCTTCACATACTTGGCCTTGTCCGCCTCCAGGCGCTCCACCGCACTCAGCTTACGGGCTCCAGGCTCTGCGGGCCGCCGGAAGTAGTCAGGTCCCTTGTTGAGGATGCGGAAAGGCATGGCCGAGGTGAAGGGGACCCCCGCCAGGCGCCCGTCCGAGGGCCGGAGGGTCTCTACAGGCATTCTGGGGTCTGTGAAAGAGGAGCAGAGGGAAAAGAAAAGAGTGTGAGACTGAGGGTAATAGTCAACATCCTTTTCGTGCTCACAAATGTCCTAAGCCAGAGAAAATAGGTATTTTGTATTGCCCCTTTCATTCCCCCTCCTCTTCTCCCTCCCACCCAAGGCCCCTTTAACTTTCTTACCAGTTGATCTGCTACTGCTGCTGCTCTTACTTCTCCTTTTCTTCTTCCTTTCTTTACGTCGTCCCTCTGGTCTATTATCTGTCCTCTTCCCAGTCCTCCTCACTGAAAGGCTAATTGTGGGACAGGGTCACCATGGGTCACATTCCACATCAGTCCGGCTCAGTGACCCAACGGGGGCAGATCCTGGGGTTAGCCTAGCCTAGCGGCCGCTGGTTGGTAACTAGAGCACACAGCCACAGACTGTCAGAGCAACTCAATCTCCTGATCCGTCTGTCTGTCCCGGAAAAGCAGCAGATCAACTGGCAGCTCCACAGATTCCCAGGGTTCCTGGAGTGAAGCTCCAGCAGGGCTTCTGGAGAGGAAAGAGAGAAAGGAACACGGTGTCAGACTAACAGAAGAACCACACTGTAACGTTACTGCTCCACATTAACAAACGCACACAGGAGCACTGTTAAGCAAAGGACAGCAGACCGGCCGGCTTTAATACGCCATCTGACTCCTCCCCTAAACACACTCACAGCCTCCGGCTGCTGGGTCCCACTGCAGCCAATCACAGGCCAGACTGGGAATCTCAGCAGGGCAGGGGGGAGGGGTGGAGGTTGGGAGCTACGCTGCTATTGGCTTTAGTCAAAGGATTCTGACCAATTGCACCCCTCCCCCACTGACAACAAAACACAAACTGAATTTTAATTCAAATTAAAATATTTGAAAGGGAGAAGAAAAAAAGAGAGAGCGAGAGAACGGGGGAGAGAGAGGGGTAAAAAAGCTGCAATATTTTACATCGAGTTGCAACAAACACAACAGGGTCTTATCAAAACATTTCAACATCCTCAGCTGCTCCACTTGCTCTGCTCTTTGTTCAACACTATAGACAGTGAGAGAAAGTATTTGTGAAGAAATACAAGCAGCGCAGAACTGTAAAGACATCAGATGATCATGTTTTATATCCGCTCCAACACCAAACCTGAGCCTCTGAATCTCAGGAGCATCACCTCTTCCTGGTAAAGATTATAATTTTAAGTAACCTTAATACATGTGGAGAAAGAAGGGAATTGCTCCCTTGCTGTTCCCGCGTCTATCCTCACAGCCGATCACAGCTGCTCTCATCCACCAATTATTTCTCCTCCTTTCTTGATCCCCAGTTTCAGAGGAATTGAAAAGCAATTCAGATTTATTTTACAGTTACACCATCAAAGCCCCAGATTACATCACACTGAGCGTTACTGCTGGCTGGGCTCATCTCTTTCCCCTCATCATCATCATCATCATAATCATATTCCTCTGCACATTTTTAATTAATCTTTTAATAGCCTTGCTGTCTCCCAGAGCCCATGTCCCCCCCTCTCCAGCAGCAGCAGCAGAGAGAAAGCAGCACGTACTACCGTAACGCAACGCACACTGCTCCTTTCATCCTCTGCAGGTGACAAACCAAACTCTCCACTGAAACAGACCATAGAATACTAGTAGGAAATGCCTTCGCTACGCCATATCCTGTTTTAAACTAATCATGTAAAATATAGTATGACCCTGAGTTTACCAGTCAGCTACCAAAACTCAGGGGAATAGATAGATATAAATATAGGAGTTGAATGGTTAGTGTACAGTACTGTATGCAAAGACTCAGCAAAGGGTCAGTATAACAGGTGAGCTGTAGAGAGCATGGAGATGACAAAAGAGGATAAGTTATGTTGAAATGTAGATGCCAGTCGACACACAGGAAGGACATGACTGTAATCATGACAGTGGCACATAAAACAAGGTCGCATTGTCTTGTGCAGTTCAATCTCTCCTCTCACACACACACACGTACACACACATACAGCTGTCTCGAAGAGGCAGGTCTTTTAATAGCTGGCACAGTTGCTCAGGCAGAGGGGTGAGTGGGTGAGGTGGCTAGCTGGCTGGCAGGCTCTCTGGTGTCTGTGCTCGGCCCGACCCAGTCATCATTCACATCCACAGTTACTGTACAACTCTTCAAAACATGCAGGCGAGACTGCAGCCCTACAGGGCCATGGACACTGTCAAACACTCCAACACAGCAGCTGCTGGTCAAAGGCCAGACAAATCTCACACACAGACAGACAGTGCCCTTTCCAGAACCAACGCAACCCACATTTTGATTCAGACTAGAGACTCAGTAACACCCTACCCCCCCCCCCCACCACACACCTGATCTAAATCAACTGCCCAATTAACTACCACACTCCTGCTATTGTCTGGTTACCATTATTGTATGGTTACACATACTGGTTGTAATCAACAAAACAAAATGTTGATGTTCTGGTAATTATGATAAACCTCTCCTGTTCCTGGTGAGGGTAATCCTTTTCTTCCTGGACGGTGCCACTGCCTACCGCCCATATAAACCCATCCTAACTGATGGCATAATCCTAAAATCCACTCTCCATCCCCTCGCTTTGTTATCTGTGCCCCCAGCCAGCGATACGGCCATGAATCCCAAATTCTGTGCATTATCAAGGAAGGTGTCTAAACACAACCTGCCCTATCCATCTCCTCCTGAAGCACCAGCCATTGTCATTCATAGGTATATACACTGTTGTTGCCGCATTTCCAATGAGGATTTATCCCATTGTTTTACCCAAAAGACTCAGACTTTTCTGTTTCCATCAACGCAGGCTGGCACCGTGTCTCACTGGGCCATGGCTCCAGCGGACCTGCTCTAACTTGGAGCCCAGGCAAGGCCCTGGGTACTACTTTGCTGGCATTTACATAACAATATGGCTAAATAAACTTTAACACCTCACAAAGCAACAGTCTTGAATGATACAGAGGTTGTTGAATCTGCTCACTACAAGTCTTTAGTGTCACACTCCTGATGGAAACAATAACACTAGAGCTAACATTAACATGATGTACTGGCAACACCCTGGTGTGGGGGTAAAGGCGTTCCTCATGCATCCCAGCCGAAACAGTTCGGAAGAGTTTGTGAATATATTATGACAACATTTTGTGATGTTTTTATTAGTTTTGGGCTTCGGTAAGGGTTTTGTCGGCTGTTCGGGCACACAAAAGTCTACGGCCATTCTTCAATAAAGTCTTTGTTGTCGTTCAACGAGAGACGACTCGTTTTCATGCACATTTTTTCATTGAGAAATACTGCACCAAACACCTTAGTTAGATGTAAAACTGTGCGACTGAGATCTCCTCGGCAAAAACGTCAAAATTAATGACAGATTTCTTGAGTTATCTTAGATCAATTGTGACTATTTTGAGGAAGTGTACTGGCTACAGTGACTCAAAATGTACAAAGTACTATTGCTGCTTTTTTCTCATTTTTCAAACTAAGGTCTTTTAAGGGAGTATGCGAGCACACTCGTTTGGTTCGCCTAGAAAAGCACCAACACAGTGCAGATCCATAGCCTAACATGAATGTATTTCCTAGGGAACTATAATGGGTGTGTAAACGTCAGTGTCACACCAGTTTTTAAATGTATTTGTTTTTATCTGTATTGTTGTTTATCACTTGTTTTCTTTGGTGCAAATAAATTAAACTTAAACTAAACTTAAACTAGTTCCTGCCCCAGGCTGAGGTGTGAACTGATCTAACAACAAGAGGCCCTCAACGACCTGGCAACTGTACAGGGGGAAGGAAAGGGCCAGGAATACCTCTTGTCAGAAACAGAAAACACCTCCAATGGCATGGCATGCTGGCTGAGACAGCCCTTGGACATGCTGCCTGCCTGGCTGAACATTCAGCTACATCACTCACTGTGGTTGGACCTTTGGTTGGACTGGAAATAGCCTGGTTAGAGAGAGCACAGCTAACAGTGATATTCTACCTCTTTGTTTCGTTGAGTGTACAGTTTTTCATCCAGCTGATGATTAGTGGAGAATGATATGCCTTATGAGAAAAGCACATGGGGGGTATGATGCCACAGGTGCTCCATCTATCTGTGGTCAGCTCCAACCCAGTGGCCTCCGGCTGAAAGGAAAAAGAAGCCCACAGAGTACATGGTAAGAGAGCCATGAGGGGTAATTACAGGGGAATTCTGTGACTGGAAGCAATTTGCTTCTCCCATAATATCTATCGGTTTGCTGACTGGATGCCATATACAACAGCCAGCGACACGTGAGATAAAGAGAGAGAGAGACAGACCGAGAGAGAGAGGGAGAGAGCGACAGAGAGAGAGACAGCGAGAGCAACAGAGAGAGCAAGAGAGACAGACAGCGAGAGAGACAGAGAGCGAGCAGGGGGTTTAAGAGACAGTGAGGAAGAGGGCAGGACTGAACAGAGTTATAAGTGTTTACAGAGGAATACCTGAAGAAAAATAATATGCTTCAGGTTAAAAGGGCTTCCGTCAGGCAGTGGTGCTATCGAAAAGGGTTCAAAAGGTTCAAGTGGCGGACAGCGGTCTTAAAAAGCGGTTTCAAGTCAGGAGCCAAGCCAGCTGGCCAATCAGGAGTCAGTTGGTTTCCCCCAGTAGCCTAACAACAGGGGTGCCACTTTCTACAGAAGAGTCAACACAGAAAGAGGGGGAAGCTTCTCAGGTAGGCTACATCACACATATAGAAGGAAGCAGTGACGCATTTCACAACAGGAAACGTGACCGAGATGGAAATACAAACAAACAGTGGGATGGTGTGACTGACTGACTGTGTCTGTCCTGCTGGACTGAGAGGCTAGAGGACCCTGCAGAGCTGTGAACTCACCTCACTCTGTGGAGCTATGTATGGGCATTTTCCTCCACTCTAACAGGCCGACTACAGAGCAAGGAAATTGGAGAAGAAAAAAAATCAGAGACTTGATAACCTCCCGAATAGCAAACAATAAAACCTGGAAAAAGACCAAAACCAGGATAG